CTCGACGGTGCTTTCACGGCGGAAACCTCCTCGCCTCACCCGCGTCTCATTTTCCGCAGACGAGAGACTAAAACAATGACGAAGAAACGTAAAGATCGCGCTATTGTTGTTGCGGTTATTAGCGAGTGAATAATTCGCGCGAACCCATTATCGTCTATTAAGGCCGAATTATATTGCTACGGCATTCCGCGCGGCCGCAACTTGCCGCATCCTCTTAGAATAGCGGCCGTAATTAGTAATAATCCTATTGGGAAATAGTTAGATTCACAATTGCGAGGCCGAAATTCACTCGTTCGCTTGGGCACAAAATGCAAGATCGTGAGTTCTTTTACTTAGTCCTGAAATTAAATCTCCCGACAGTTCTCAAACGTTATAATGACAATTTTCGTTGATAGCATCGATTAGATTTAGATAAAGAGCACACGGATGGAGGGGGAAAGGAGGTGAGATGAAATGGTTACGATTTCCGAATTTTTCTAAGCTAATAACAAATAACGAGTCGGTGCCCATCTCACTAAAGGATTTTAATAATAATAAATAATCTGTCGTAACTTCAATCTGCCAACGGTAGTACATACACAGTGCAAAATTTTGTGTTACAAACGGTACACCCAAATTTTCGTGTTACTTTAAACAGGGTATTACTTTAACAAGATGAATACGCTAATTTAATATATTTGTGTATATTTTAACACGTTCCTTATGTTAAAGTGACACAAACATTTAAATGGATCGTTTGCAACCAAAGTTTTTTTATTACGTAGATAATGCGTTTCATAATAAGAAAAATATCTTTTCGACGCGTCTACGTATAATTTTATGGCATTTCTCGATAAATAACGATGCAATTATAATAAAACTATCACTTTCTCTATAAAACTACTGTGTACTGTATCTGAAAAAAAGTGCGTATAATAACACGTGATTTATTATTTGTTCCTCCTAATTTGTTCTAATCGGATAAATAAATAGAGTGACCGTTTGATGAAGTGATGTATCACTTGCGAATGTGTACCCGCGCGTATAGAGAGATCAGCGGGAAAATCGACGAAATATAATATCTCCAGATATAAAGGGAAACCGGGTGTCTACGCGCGGCAGCTTTTACCAATTCGTCCGATTCGGTCATAATAATCGCGATCCCTTCGGTTTTTGCTTGAATAATTTCAACGCAGACGAGCCATTCCGCTCGGGGTGGCCACTTATCCGACCGCGACGAATGCGTGACGATCGCCGGGTCGGAGAGGGCTCGAGGTCAGCGCGGAGAGCAGACGAGCCCCGGCGCGCGGCGGACTGTTCATGCGAAAGCCGCCGGGCTTTTTAATCGACGTCACCCCGTACGTACGTACCGTCGTCCGTCCGTCCGGTCCAGATTAATTTCATCATGAATGTTAGCCCAACACTCGAGATCCAACCGCGAGCAAACACCCTCCACGCACTCTATTAACAGTTTAAAGCGTATTACAGTCGCGCCGTCGGGCGGCGCGCGCGCGCGTTTCGCACGCACGATCAACACCGGCGAGCCGCACTCAGGGATGACGGCTTTGCCCGGTCAAAGAAAATTCCTACGAAAATGTTTGCGCCGCACAGGTGATCCCGTTTGGTCGTTTGCGCGGCCGAGTCGACCGCGGTATCATTTTCGCGGGTTTCGTCTTTGCGGATGGCACGGACGGCCGGCAAGCGTGCATCTCGTGCGCCGATTGATCAAGTTTCGGATACCTTTCGAGAACAGAGGCGTCGATGAAATCACGGAGTAGAGTTGACGATGAATCGATATCCGAGTGGCATTCTGCGTATCGGTTTTATCGCCGTCGCCGCTACGCATCTGAGGGAAGCAACGAGACGCCGGCGGCTTAATCGGCGCGTTTTAAAAAAACGGCGCGTTACTAGCCTCGCGGAGCCGACCGAGGTAGCCAATTAGACGTGTCTCGAGGGTGGGTGCCCTCGCTAGTAGAACAAACCAGGCAGACAAGGGGAGGGCCGGAGGAGCGAGACGAGGTAACAGGGATAGATAGAGGCATCGGAAGGAGAAAAATACGAAGCGGAATCCCTTCTTCCTTCTCCCTCGCCTTTTTCGGTGGAAATAAAACTGTTGTATCTACTAATAAAGGCGGAGTCTTACTTTTAAAAGCGCGCACTCCGCTCTCTCTCTCTCTTTCTCTCCAGCCGTCTCACTCTTTCTCTCTTTCTCCTTCTTCGTCCTGCGTTAAAATAGGAGGGATTAGTTCCTATGGTAGCGCGGGGGCTTAAGCATTGATGAGGTTTTTAAATGGGTTCTCCTTTGACGATGGTAAGAGAACGCGAAAGGCGAGCAGGGGTAGCTACGACAACGAGGGCAGAGGGGGAGTGGCAGGGGGGAGGGGGAGGAAGGGGCGATATTTACCGGGAGATTAAAAAATCGAGGGAAAAATTAAGTGTTACGGGGGCACGCCCCCCGTCTTGGACTTAATTCTACGTAATCCTCCGCTAAGATCGCCGAACCTTCCTCCCCGGCCTCCTCCCCTCGTTCTTCTGTATTTTCTTCCCCCTTTTACATTATTCCGCTTTCGAGAAAGGTCGATCGAGATTTTCATTTCTCCTCGCGTAAGGATCGCGTTTTTTGTCGGTCGCTAATCGGCCGGGATTACGTTTGCTCGTGAAAACGAAAGGATTTCTCGAGGAGCTCGTACGGGTATTATCTGAATGTTGAATAAAACGACTCCGGAGAATCGTGGAGACCGAAACCGAGCGGAGGGGGTGGGTCTCGCTTTGTGTTCGTTTACGCGTTGCCGACTGATAAGTAAAGATCGAATGTCCCCCGGCGGAACTGAGCGAAATGAAATTTCGCTCGACTCCAGCGTAGGTCGTACCGCTCGAAAGGACTTTTTCCCAGCCGCGCGCGCTCAAATAATAATGAAGCTTAATTACATGAGGCCAAGTCGATATGTTGGCGATACAAATATTTAGAGGGTGAGCGCCGCACGGTGGTCGTGAAACGATGTTATTAGTAAATTAACTGACATCAAAGAAAATGCGCGCGAGCGCTGGTCACTTACTCTGCTAATGGAAAGCTTGCATCCTCCTGCGCAAGAGAAAGATATACATATACATATATATATATATTTTTATATATATTTTTATCACGTATATTCTCTCTCTCTCTCTCTCTCTCTCTTTCTCTCTCTTTTTATATATATATATAATTATAACTCACAGATACTATTCATTTCACGCGTGATCATGACATATGCGACTTTGCATTTAGAAAAAATGCGAGTGTTATGAAATAAAGTTATTCTATCGATCACTATCGTAATATTTATATCGTAATATTTCGACTCGAATTACATAATTCAACCACACAGAACAGTCAGTCAGTCCGCTAATAACCGTGCTGTTCACTGATCCACCCCATTTTTCATTAACCACCGGCTCAACTACACCGAGTGGTCGCAATCGTTCCTCTCGAAACCGCATGGCGGTCGTGGTCGTTGACGAATGAACGTTTTAACGATCATCACTATGAGTCCAAATCTCAAAGGTTGTCGGCGTTTAAGGGGATGATGACGCGCGCTTTCCCCGACGGGAAGCCGACGGGGATCCACGCTACCCTCTCCCCTTCTTACCTCAGAGATCGGCTCCTCTCCACCGGGTGTCCGTTGCGCAGGGTCTTAAGGGTGATATTTTTTTCTCGTTCCTCGGCCGGACTAAATTTCGCGCGTTAAGCCCTCGGTGTAATCCCGCCCTTAATATTCAAAAACGTGATCGCCCTGCCAAGCGCGCGCGCCGACGAACTGGTCCGTGGCTGGTCCAACGGAGATGCCACCTCGACGGGGGGAGCTTTTCATATGCTAATTGGCATTCGTCATTTTCTTATGGCGCCGACTTAAGTGTGCTTAAGGCTGCTAACTCCTTCCTCGGCGTTAGAACTGGCTAGGCCTCGCCGACCTCCCCGTAATTGGACCTCTTTCTCTCTCTCTCTCTCTCTCTCTCGTGGCTCGACCCGCGCTCACATGCCGGCGAATACGAAATTCGTCATTCCTAAACGCGTTCGAGAGCTCCAATCTGGAGCGGAATGACCCAGTTTAGTTAGAAAATGAGATTTACGTGTACCGGTGATCCCTCCCGGTAACTTGTGCAATATGTAGCGCGTATGTAATATACACTGGCTTATCTTTTTATTTAATAAAGAAATTAAGAAAAATAAATAAATAAATTATATATATATATAGATCTTTTATTAGCTTATTTCACCTTTATTAGTTCGACTGACGTATAAAATATTAGTAATATTAAAAATTGTATACACACACACACACATACATAATATTATAAACAAGGAAATATTATTTATTTCTTATTTCCCTTATTAATATTTTAATATTTTATACGTTAGTTAAGCTAATAAAGGTGCATACATAATAAAAAGTGATATATAAATATTTAAATATGTGCATATCGCGGGTATTATTATAAATTGTTGATTTCCTAAGCCTATATTTTCCAAGCAAAATGGTCTGAAATTTTTATATAATTAGGTCATGTTTAAATCTATATATAGCGAAAGTATGGACGAATTTAAAAAGAATTCATTTTACGCTACAACTACCTTAACGCGAATCCAGTTGTAATTGACAGGTGTTTTTAATCCAAACCACACGAACGATTCGGAGATAAAAGGACGGACGTTCCGATTACCCTCTTTCTGCACTCACACGAACAGCGACATTGAATTAGCTCACACCTTCGGGCGAATAGGTGTCGGTAATGTTCTATCCCCATCACGGCGCTCTCACATATTACATTCTAACTTTATCGAGAGATATCTCGGCGGCGTATCTGTATGAAGATAACGCGCGTATTCATCGCCGAACCGTGCCGCGCCTGTACGCTCGCGTTGTACGCTCGTGTTTCTTCCGCGCGACGAAAGAGTTAAAAAAGAAAACGCCCGGAAGGAAGGAGCCCTTCAGAGAGTGAAATTTGGCATGGGATGTTGGCGTCGCGCGAGTGTGCAGTGAAAAGCCCAAATTACTGATACGGCGATATAGCGAAGGTGATTTTGATCACGAAGGCGGAGCAAGTCTGGACGAACGTAAGTGGGTGCCACCGCGACGTAAAAATGACACTTTTCACCTCGTAATTGTATTCGTGCGTTAAGTAACGTTCACTTACAATTGTGCTCTTTTCATCGTCTTCGAAAGCTTGCGTTCAATATCGGAGATATACTTGAGACGCTTCCGCGATTCTAGAGAAACAATGACTCACGATGATACATAAGCCGACCTATATCAGGCACGTATCATTTTCTCACGTCTTTTTCTTTCACTTTATTGAACATTACACATATTCGATCCGTCTCTTCCGGTGAGGGAAATCGAACGAAGAAACCGCAGAAAGCATACGAATGTACTTACGATTAAATATACAATTAAGTGAAACGCGGGACGATTAAATAGAAATCCGTGCACGAGTCGGCGATAAGATCTTGATATTTCCTTTCGATTAAAGGGCGTATCGCATCGGACGAAATGACGATTCGTCTTCAGGAGGTAGTGAGGTCGGATGTAGAAGGCGGTTTGTCGGGACCAGCCAACCCGATACCAAGCCAGTCGATCGATTGCGGCTGCGGACTGATGCAATGCCCGAAGCTGGCGAGATTCGCAACGCGAAAACTCTTCGTGGGATTAATGTGTTGGGTCGGCGTGGTGCAAGCCGCGTCTTACGTCTATTTTTACGTGACAGGCCCCACGATAGCCAGAAAGTTTCAAATTAATCCTTATCTAATGGGTATGTGTTCGAAACACGAAGCATTCTCAAGCACAGTCGCGCTGACCGAAAGAGAGACGATGGTCGATTAAAGGGACGCCTGGGGGAAAATATTGCGAGTATTTCGTAAGAAATTTCTTCTCCGCAGATTGGATTCTCGTTACGGCGGACTTAACACCATTCGTCCTCGGATTAGTCGTAGCGTATTGGGGAGACAGGATACACAGGACCTCATGGATGGGCACCTTAATTCTATTACAGAGCGTTGCGTATTTCATTCTGATAATACCCCATTTAACGCATCGTGTTCGCGTGATCGAAGACACGACGAATGCCACTTACATGTCGTTATACGCAGGTCAGAGAAAAAGAGAGACAGAGAGAGATATTTGAAATATACAGGGTGTCCTGGATTAAAAAGAACACCTGAACACCTTTGTTGTTGTTGATAATATAAGAAATATTTACAGCACAATTTTTGAATGGTTTCGAAACAAGAATATCTTGGAAGAATTTTTCTTTTTACAGTTATTTCTCGATTTTTTTCAAGTCTCGTATCATTAGAAGCAAAGAAGATATTTAGGTATTCTCTTTATGCTGGGACCGCCCTGTATAATTCTAAAACGGAGGAATAACATCAGTGTTAGATCTTTTCTTCGCAATAGTATCGAAATTATTATAAGTAAATGATTGTTAATGGTAATTTGGATAATTACACGATAATACAAATAATAATTGTGTGACGCGATCTGCGAAGGAATGATAATATAAGAAGAGGGAAGTTTTTTCTTGTGTCAACGGTGTATCTTGAATTTTTAGACGATAGTTCAGAATTATGCGCCGCCGGAACATCGAAGATGATCGCGAAGGAAGACGGGACTTGTTACTTCACCATGGTCGTTCTTATCATAGTCCTAATCATTAGCGGAATGGCGAATGTCGCTTACTACGCTCTAGGGATTTCCTATTTGGACGACAATACGAAGAAGAGAGATGTGACCTCTTTCATCGGCGCGATCATCGCCATGCGGATTATGAGTATTATTTTCGGATATAGTTTGGCCTGGGGATGTCTTCGGTGAGTGTTTAGATAGAACTTAGAAGCCAGATCACGTGACTGTTGTGTTTACAATTCGAAAAAGTTCAATGCACGTTAAAGACAAGCGAACAAACACGTGAAAATATACATGTATTTATTCTTTAACGTGTCAACTCGCCCAGGATAGATGCGGAAAATCTCAATAAAGTGGAATCATACCGGGATCATATCGGAGCGTGGTGGCTTGGATTCCCAATTCTCTCCGTATTAATGGTGGTGCCTGGTTTGTTGCTCGCGTGGTTCCCTAGAAGACTCCCTTCAGAGGTATAATTATAAAGTTATTTTAGGATATCGCAACCCTTCGGGATATCTGTGGAATCGCATTTCGGATATCTGGGACAATTTGAGATATCCTCAAGATAAAGTGCGCTGTGTGAGATAGGATATCTGCGATACACGTTGAAAATGAATACTAAGAACTTTGCTATGTTATATGTCATATTTATCGTGTCGTGTATTTTTGGTCCAAAACCTTCGTTTCCTTAATTTTATTATATTTGTAATCTATCTTAACGTCAGGTTGTCGAACAAGCTGCAGCCTCGCTTCTCGACCGTTCCGCGGTGCATAATCGAGCACCTCACCGAACCACCAATCAGAAAGCTGGTAGCCCGGATTTTTGCCCGTCATTCCTGAGGTTAATTACCAACAAGATTTTGATGTGTAACATTCTGGCGATGGCGTTCTGCGCCATGGCGCTTCTGAACTTCATGACGCACGAGGACATCTACTTAGAGTCCAGATTTCACATAGCCCGGCCGACAGGAATGCTCCTTGGATTCAACGATCCCCTACGATCCAGGCTAATTATCAGTAAGAGCAATCTGTGCCACTGATAAGACGTGAATAAGTAAAAAAAGGAAAATCAACAATAATCTACATACAGCGATATTCGTTAGAAAAAATAATTATTGGATCATCTCATTAATATAATGCAGATTTTTCGGCAATTAGCGATTGCCTGAATCATTTTACACCCCGCTAGGGAGAAAGTAAGAATATATATGATTATCGATATTAGGGATAAATGGACGTAATACCGGAATAAAGAAAAGTTTGTTCCCGTTAACGTATGTTCTTTAACGAAGGATAAATATGAAAAATGTCATTTTAGTTTCGAGGAATAATGTCCACGTTTCACGGCGAATAATACCGTACAAGAACATAATTTTATTAATATAACACTCAATATATTTGATTTCAGATATCTCGAAACCCGTTCTGATCGGCCTGATCGTAATCATCAGTGGTTTAGTATTAGCTAAGGCAAAGCCGAGCGCGAGATTTATCATTGGCTACAGTTTCGCAACCGTGCTTTTGTCCATAGTAATTATAATCCTGCTGATCTTCGACACTTGCGAAAAGCCGCCTATCGTCAATATGGAACCGGGCTCGTAAGTTCGTGCCGATTTACCCACACATACACACGCGCGCGTCTACTATCAAATAATAAGAATAAGCCTACTATCACGCATAATAATACGCGGTAAAAGATCAAAGTACACCATATACATCGTACAGCCACCGTCGCATACATTCCATGATAATGAAATCATACGACGAACAATTGCGATAGTTTCACCGATAGAACAGAGTTGTGGGTGAAAATCGATTAAATTTCATTTCTATATAGAATCGGATTGTCGAGATATTGCAATAAGAATTGCGGCTGCTCAAAAGACGCCGTATTCCGACCGGTTTGCGAGAAGTTGGGAAAGTACACGTACTACAATCCTTGCTATGCCGGCTGCACCACAATCATTTACGTCGACAACGAAAAGATTTATAGCGATTGCAAATGTGTGGAGGATAGGACAGGGTGGAGTAATGACCAAGCGACGGATGGCCCGTGCGATTCGTTGAGGTGTCAGGCCGCTTGGATGCTTTTCCAGGTAACCCGCTGTACTCCAGTTGACTGTTTCGCTCTTTGTGTCATCTTGCCACACGGTAAAATATTTTTCTTTAAAATCAATGCATTTAATATGTCCTAAACGGTCGCTCAAATTTGGGCGTTGATTTGACGCAAGATGAATATATTAAAAGGTAACATAAATAGAAAATTAACACGGAAAAGTGACACTTTGATACTTTGCAATCAAGTTTTGTGCAAAAATAATATATTCATAATGCTGAGTGTAACTGAAGGAAAATGTTATTTTCTATTTTTCAGTTCGGAACTTCCGTGGCGTACGCGCTGATCGCTTCTACTTTCGTAGGGGATCTGTTGATCAACGTAAGATCGGTCTATAAGCAAGACAAGGCGATCAGCATAGGTCTCTGGATGGCGATCGTCGCGATTTTCGTCAACGTGCCCGGCAAGATTCTCTATGAATTTGCATCGTATCAGGCGTGCCAGTACTGGGGCAAGGAGAAGATAATTTGTCATTTGCACGACGGTGAAAAGCTCGGGAACTACCTGTGCTACTTGACGATACTGCTTCTGTCCTTGTGTCTTGTCCTCAAAGCCGTTGTCTGCTTTTTTTCCAAGAATTTACAGCTCTACGACGAAGTCGAGAGTGAAGGCAAGGGGAACGTCGAGATACAGGAACTGATCGAACAGGCGAGGACACTCGACGAGCCGGAGGAGGCATCGGTTAATAATAGTAAATATCTCATTTACCTCGTAAAATAGCTCACGCAAAAAATGCTTGGTGAAGTTTACACCTGTCAACTGTAATGTAACTTCTAATCGCGACAATGTAACGCAGATAACAGCACGGCGCAGGTGGAGGCGACCGTCGAGCCGGAATCGACAACGTCACCGGAGACGACGTTGCCGGAGGAAAATCCGCGGAAGGAGGACGAAGACAGCGAAGAGACCGCGGCATTCAAGTACGGCCCGTTGGGTCCGGGCGATCGCCGAAGCACGGTTCACCCGGTGAAAAGCGATTCTCAGGGGACGATCCAAAATCTCGACTCCGAGGACGAGCTCGACAGTTCGAGCGACGAGAGCCGTCCAGACGAGAGCAAGAAACAATCGAGCCCGCGAGTCGCCTACACGCCGTTAGAGCTGGACTCCGACATCGAGAGCGACCTTAGCAGCACGGGGCCGAGGTCGAGAAGGCGCGTCTCCAGCAAGGATTACGACCAGACGTGCGACATCGGCGACGACAACGCCCCGTCCAAGAACTCGTCCGTGAAGCGCCGGTTTCCCAATCCCGATCACTACGAGGACCCGCGGAGGGCCCGGAACGGCCGGAATCAGAACGGTTACGGGGACGGCTCGTGGAAGACAACCAGCTTCGAGTTCTCGACGAGGGGTCAAGAGAGCGACGTGCTCGAACTAGGGAACTTCAACGAAGTTGGCATACCGATAGCGGATCCGTTTCCGGACGGTAAGGGCGACTCCGCCGCCGCTAACACGGCCCACTCGAAGGACGTGAAGTCGCTGATCGATCAATACGAGCAGAACGCCAGTCAGGAGGCCGCGGACGAGGATCAGTTGTCGGTCAAGTCGTCGGAAGATACGAGGACTCGACCGGAGAACAAGATCGTCTCCGGTATTCCTCTGGTAGCCATGGTGCCCGGCGTCACCAAACAATCGTTTCGACGGATGTCCCCCTCGGGCTCCGCCGGCTCGCCGAACCTGCGGGACAAGAACGCCGATCGGCGTTCGGAAAAACACACGACACCCAGCCCGAAGAGCCCCGCCAAGGGAGGTAAACCCACGTATTGCACCGATCTCTGATCGCCCCGAGTCGCACGCGCCAGACTATGCATGACAAGTGACTGCTTAGGCGAATATTTATGACGGGGGAGGAAGACTAGTGACTCTATCAGTGGAGCGTCAAACGCTGAAGTGACACATTTACGAGGTACGAGAGATAAGAGATCCGGACGATCCGAACAGTCGAGGCCCGGCGTCGCACCTTCGCCGAGACTGTCGCGTTTATGAAATATGAGGGGAGGTGCAAGGATCCGTTTCTCGTTGAAACTGTCGCCGCGAATACGAGTCCGAAGTGACGCTCCCGAGCACGCCGGTAATTTTCTGGCTCGTCCACGGCCGATCTGAGAGCGAGCGAATAAACACGTTTGTTTACTAAGAGGGGGAGGGAGGAAACTTCATATCCCGTTTTCGTTGATAATTAATAACGTGGATTATGCGTGCAGAAAATTCTTTTCCTCGCGTCTGCGAGTGAGAGGCTCATTTCTTTTCTAACGTACACAGCTTCCTCAGCGAAACGACCAACGTTCGTGATGACACCAGTGAGCAAGAAACATTAGATCGATCTTTTCGAAACACTGATTTCACGTGGGCTTTACAAATATTTTCACATGATATTTTATGAACGTTTTTAAATTGTTACCTGGTAATATTGTATTCCGAAATATTGAAATTATAGTGTAGAAACGTTATCTCGAAGGTTTCGCTCAAATATTGTTAACAGTGACGTTGCGTACAACATTAGAAGAGCTACAGATTTGAAAACGTTACATGTTGTGGAATATTATTGTAATAACGTTGTGTTAGCGATTCCTCGCTCACTGGGATACGCCGTATCTCCGTCGATTCAAAAATATCGCGATCTTAAGTTCGATCGCCGCTGCAATTATCTTCCAAGTCCTGAAATATGTAAGCGACGTATATCTTACCGTATTGTAATAATTACTTCCAATTTTCCGTAACGCAATTAATAAGACATTTGCCGTGCACCACGGCGTTCTCCGAACGATGCGATTCACAGTGATCGTTCGTGGAAGAAAACGCGCTCTCGTAATAACATATTTTATACAAGGATTGTCCTTTTGATATAATTTATTACACGATTAAAATCCATCACATATCGTAATTTTGTGGATTACTCTGTCTACCCGCCTAACATCTCCTTACTTCGGAGTAAAGTAATCAAGTGTCTTACACGTACAGACTAAAGATTCCATCTCGCCGCAAACGACGTCCCCGGGAGGAAGTATTTCGAGACGGAGGATAAACCTGTCGTCCAAACAGCGGATAAATACATCATATGAGCGTAGATAAATTATAGTCCCTTACTAATCCGCTAATTCAAGGTGTAACCATCGTTATGTACAATTATCTGACTTTAATAGGTGATTCGCGCTAAGGTAACGTGGATCATTGCTCCCGTCATTGACAGTCTAAGCGGTGCATACAGAGAGGTATACTTACACCGTACGCGTGCGTACTACAATTGGCGACTTAAGATCGTCCACTTTGTGTTCGTTCATACCGTCCGAAATAAAGCGAATATATAGTCACGTCACTCTACAACGATAAATTTGCCCCCGTAACGGCATTCGCCGATAAAAAGACCACGGATTAACCCGAATCGGATCGAGAATCGACGAAAGATCGGAGAGGTCGTCGTCGTGGCTCCTGTTCTTTCGAGTACCGCGGATGATCCACCGACGATCGATTCTACCTAGATTACCGCGAGCTTTAAATATCTAAGGGGATGCTTAAGGTACTTGTAAAGTCTTTATTTGTCGGTTCTTGCGCGTTCCTCGTTTGCTCCTCCTCGCTGATCCTCGATCGAGGCTCCCTTTCGCGTAACGCAACGCCCCGAAGGGCCGCGAGTGGGCTTACTCGGCGTCAATAATGATTCTTTAAAGCGTCTCGCCGGGCTCCTCGGCTATATCCTCCAGTTCGATCTCCTCGTCGAAGATCTTCACGTCCTTCACGTAATACCAAACACCCACGTCGAATAACGTGCCGATCGTCACGAAGCCTGAAACAGGAGACGGGTGGTACGCGCGAGCGAGACGATTCCCGAAATTCGAGTGCTATTCTGAAGAATAATTTAATTATCTTAAGGATCATTCGCTTTTAATAAAAACTTACTCCGACGATACCGACACTTTCGAACTCCCCTCGTGAACCCTGAATTCTACCGATTGAATTTTAACGCTACCTTCGATAACCTATTTTGACGTTAAAAGAGGGAAGACATCGTCTAAGGTTGAAGTTTGGATTATATTATATTATTAGAAGTGAAATTGAATTTTATTTTGCTATCTCAGTTCCTACCGTGTTATAGAATTAAAGGTTCAACATAGGACGACGGGGTAAAATAAGCCGATTTCGGCCAGCACGTCGAAAAGTATAATAAAACACGCATGAAGAAGCATCCATCGATTAGGCCAGAATTGGCTTATTTTACCGGTCGTCCTTTCGTGTTAGAAAAGTTCGTTTTCCTCGCCGATCTTTTCCTTTTATTTTCTCGAACGGAATCACTCCTCGAGATACTCACTGGCTGCCGTGAAGTTCAGCAAATACCTCAGAGTCTCGCCATTGTACAGCCAGCAATTACCCGTGCCCGAGCATGTCTTACCCCACACGAGACAGGTCTTGTCTGCGGGCAGATAAAATATTAATCGGTCTCCAAACAGAGAAAGCGCGAGTATGATTAATTGTACACGCGTGTTTGATAACGATTTGAAATCAACCGCGGTACACGCAAGTGGTAAAAGATGACGCGAGGAGACATTGAGCACTTTATCCTCAATATTTACTGATAATACTCCGGGCAATTTGCCTCTGTCGCTACTAATCATTATTGGCCGCGTACAAATGATGAAGAGCTTATCGCCTACCTAAGATAAATCCAAACAGAATAGGCGATGGTATGAAAGCGAAGAGGCTCATTATCGTCAACCCGAAGCCCATTGCGACCGTCTTATCCTTCTCGTCGACGCATCTTACGGAAACGAGGAAATTCGATGCTCTCCCGGTCGCCCCGCTGAACTTCAAGAGACACACCACCGTCAGGAAGATGTAGAACTTGTGCATACAGTCGACCGGACACGAGCCCGGGATGGCCGTTCCCAGGGTCTCCACGATTGGCTCGCTCGTCTCCAGAGGCAGTTCAGTAGGGAGTGGGAATGTGAAGTTGGCGTACGAGTGCGTCAGAGAGCGGGACAGTTTCGGCTTCACGCAGCTGCAGTCCGTGTAAACTTTGCTACCGTTGCTGAAAAGCTGAGGGAAGAAGAACGGGAATCCGATTAATCCTTAATATTACATACTCGCGTCATCGATACAGAAAGCCTTTGGCTTTTCCGGTAACTGAAAAATCCGAAGATTCGAAATATAACAATAACAAGTGTCGCGCAATCACTTTTACTCTTCGATCTCTCTCTCTCTCTCTCTCAAGCCGATTTCCGATTTTGATCCAAAGGCCGTTTTCTAAGAATCGTATAATGTGACATCGAACCTTCATGTTGCGGCAGCCGGCGTGACAGGCGGATATGAAAGTTTGCCCGTGCTCGGAGCACACCGGATTATAAGTGACGAAGTCGCAGTTGCACTGCTCGTTGCAGGGCAGCTTGGTTTTCAGGGCGCCGCTCGGCTGGATGGCGATCTGGTTGTCGTTCGCCGAGCAGCCGAGGAAGGCGTACGAGATCATTCCCATGATCGATATTATACCGATCATGACGTTCCAGGCCGCCAGGTATCTGGCCTTCGGCTTGTACTTCGAGATGATCAGGCCGGACAGCAGGATGCCGAATGCGCTGAACACCAGGCCGACCGTGCCGGTGATCAGCGACGAGACGGACGCCGATTGCTTGTACTGGGTCTCGATGTACTTCGGCATGAAGATCCAGTACGGCATGTAGCCCATAAAGTAGAACACCGTCGCCAGATTGTTGCACATCAGAGTCGTGTTCGTCAGCAGCCGTTTAAACGTCCTCAGCATATCCGAGATCGAGGCCGGTAGCTCCGGCTCACCCTCCCCCTTGATGCACGTGGCGGATCGGTTGCGCTCCAGAGCGAGAACTTTGCGGGCGGCCGCCCTCGGCAGGGTCTTCGGGAAGAGAGCGATCACGCTCGCGAAAATGAAGAGTAGAATGGCCAGGATGATCCATCCCAGCCACCAGGCGCCCAACCACCTGGAACGTCGGGGTTACGGTTAGATACGGTTTTGCACATACGGGGAAGAGTGAGCTCGCATTTCGGCGTGTTAAGAACACACCGAAATACGTCATTCGACCGAAAGTCGTCATTTTCATAGCGATATTTATATTTCCCGTTACTTTGACTTTCGATAGAAATGCTTACGTGGATTAAGGAAACGTTGATTCGCACGTCGAAAACTCCTGTTTTCAATTTATATTAGCATATGGCGAGAGTGAATTTGTTGCATAATAATATTAGCGTTACCTTCCCGCGTGTTCACCTCGTGTAAATTAACCCAAAAATTGACGCGGGCCCTCCGGGACACGGTGAGACGCGTGTCAACGCAAAATTGTTTACCGCGCGGGTGAGCTCGCGCAACAGCGAACTTGGCGAGTCACTTCGACGACAAGCAGCTTATCATTGAAACGGGGCGGTTTAATTGCGAAACGATCACCGACGGTCGATCGGTGGTCACGTACCTCGGGTCTTGCGTCGTGATGGTGGGAGTCAGAGTCGGGCTGATGTAGAACTTCAGGGCGAACGAGGCCAGCCCGTAGCCGATCGCGGGTCCCAGCATTCTCAGGAAATACGAGAAGCTGATCAACGCCGGCGTCTTCGATTTCTGTATGTTGTCGTCCATGTACGACACACCGAGGGTGTAGTAAAGGGAGCCACCCACCCCGGACACCAGCTGGGCTATGAAGAGCAGCACCTGAGGCGCGAAGTTCACGTCGTCCACCTCGCAGTCGGTCCCGCGATTTTCCTTCGCCAGGCAGAGGAATTTCCGGTGTCTGTCGGGGATCTCGCTCGTATTCGCGTCCTGCGGCTTCCCGCCGTATTCCTTCGTCAGCGACAGGGCGTCCTCGCCGGGCCCGTAGAGGAAATGCGGCAACATCGTCAGACAGCAGAAGAGCACGACCTGACGACGAGACGAACAATAGCCGTTATACCTCGAGGAAGATTTCAAGCGGCGCGTCGAATCGGAAAATTCCCTCTAAATCGCACTCGTGCTCGCCACGAGTCCGTTTTCCGCTCCTGAATTGGGGCTGCACCGGAACTTCGTTCCGTCTCCCTTCGACTCTAAGACATATACTCGTCTAATTCGAACGGTAAAAACCCAATTCAACAACGGGAAACAGACCTTGCGTGATCTCGGACCGACCCCGGCAGCTTCGTTCGTCCGCGATTTCCGGTACGGCGAGAATCTCAAGTATGCAACATGAACGGGTCTTCCAGTAGCGGCGGTGAATATCGGAAGGCGTACAAAGAAATCGGGGGGGAGGAGAGGGGTGGTCAACAGAGTAGGTCATATCGGAGCCGCCTTCGTCCTCGGCGTTATTCTTTTTCTCGAAATATCGGCGAACGATCGTACCAGCGACCGGCGTGCAACGCGCGCGTTTCGTGGGCTCCTGAAGCGCCTCTTTGCTATTCGAAGAACGGAGCGCTCGGCTAAGACGGCGAGAGTACGGATGGTAAGAGAGGCATGAATGAGCGTAGCCACGGTTCCAACGCTTCCTAATTTAATTAAGAGCCGACCAACCGGTGAGGTATGACGTCTCCCGGCTCGTTCCTCGCGCGGGGCGTGTGCCGAGCACAGCTGATTTCGCTCCTCGGCGGATCGGCAAGTATGGCGCTAATGCTCGTCGCGGCCACCACCTGTGCGCCGATCGGCTGACGCTCATCGTCGCGCGTATTCCCGATGTATCCCGGAGGACACACGAGGTGCGAGGATGCTTACGGAAACTTACCGTGTAAATACCGAATGCGATCCACCGGGGCCTGTGACCCCTTCCCGCGTAATACGAGAGAACGACGGAGACGAAGAGCTGCGAGATGTCGTTACCCACTGTGATGAGACCTGTACGAGAGAGAAAAGGCGCGCAATCAGATATCCGGCTGTCCCTGTATATTTAAACGGACGTACTGTATCGACGTAAAAATTCCCAGACCGATCCCCCCCCGCGTCGTAACGCTCGGCGACGAGCCACGTGTCGCCGTCACGCGCGCAGATGCGGCGTTCGGAGTTTACTATTTCGTCGTAACAGTTCGCACTTTGACCCGTCGGTAGCAGCGTCGCGATGAAGATATGCAGCTAATCGTCGGCTGCACTGGAAACCGCGTTCGGTCGGATCCACCAGGATGAACAATCGAGTCGCGTCTCGGTTGGGGGAAACGAAATTCCCAGCGCTCACGGACCGAATTTCCTGATTACCGGCGGAAGGATTTCTGATTTCCCTCGACCGAAACCCACTTAGCTGGCCGGTGTCCAGGCTGATCCGACCGGAAGGAGTTTCTCAGGATGGAACCAATTCGTTTCCCGTTATCGCACGCGATGTGTATTGTGCGCACAATGAGAAATTTTCCGTCACGGAGGGAATACGCCGAGAAATTACATGTTACTTTTTAACATATTCATCCTTAAGTTTGGCTTTCATTCCCGCTCAGAAAAAAGAAATTAGTATTAAATCGAGAATAGATATTCTCATATATGCATAAGCGAGAACATTACGATGCTCTTAGAAGATTTTCACTCTTGATTTGACAAAATTCCCACTGACGCGCGTATCGTTTGAACTCAGCTCGAAATTCGGAACATTATAATATCCTTGCTTATACATCAAGAGGATCGATCTTGACTCAAGGCTCATCTTTTCTCTGTGTGCACGCGGGAAAGAAGAGTCGGCTGCCGCAAATGAAATTTAGTCAATTTAACCAACTTTATCGTCCCTGCATCCGGTTTTTAGCTTCCGCGGCTGAAGCTCTGGTGACGAAATTTCAGTTGCATTATACGCGCAGCTAATTCCTTCTTTCCATACCGGACGTACTAGTTCGGGAAGTGTGCGTCCCGACATTCACAGTCAGTACTGCAAATTTATAGTCTACATAACATGAGCTATAGATTCGCAGTGTACTGGCAGTGAATATCGGGGCGCGCGCTTCTTGAACTGGTACAGTCGGTGCAGGGAACAGAGATGGGTCTCTCGTAACGGAGTGACGCGAAAATTCGCACGGGCCGTTTCTGACACACACACACACTCGCACACAGACGCAGGCACAATTTGATACCGTGTGCGGAAGGCCGAAGTAACGAAGGGAGCGCACTGCGAAGGTATCGCGCTTACCCGTCGTCTTGGAGGGTATCTTGAATCTCTTCTCGATGGTGGTGATGGTGCCGTTGAAGTAGGCGTAACTGGCGGAGAATATGCAGCCGAGCACACCGTAAAGAAAGACGTAGGCCTTCTTGTTGGCGAATCGCTGGAGGATCGGGCCCTTGAAGCACCATATACCGCAGGCGGTGTCGTCGGTGATCGGCAGCTCCCTGAAGACATCCTCGACGCCCCTGCTCGCGGTGGTGGGCGACGAGGGTGTCGCGCCCGGCGTGCTGGGCACCTGCAGCAGCTTCAGGTTCTCCGGCCCGTTCTTCTCGCGATTCGAGTTGCTCGAGTTGTTCTTCATCTTCGCCTCGGTCGACCTAGCGACTGCCCTACGCGGCCAGCGAGGCAACAGGCGGCTCCGAGCGGACCTCAATCAGTGACCTCAATCGCGTTGGATCGCACGGCTACGACGATGTGACTTCTTCGTCTTCCACGCGGCCCTTGGCATCGCTTTTCCGGCCTCGCCCCCTTCGCTCGCTCGCTCGCGGAATCGCCTCTTCTTCCTCTTCTCGAGTTCCTCACCTCTCGTGCGTGTCCCGCCGCCACGTCGTCACGTGTCCTCCATGACTTTCGCGCCTACCGGGCCGACACCTACGCCTACCGGGAGATCGGAGGGTTGACTGCGGTGGCTCGTGCGCGCGGCTCGCCGATTTATTCGGCCCCGACGAGGAGGACGACGATGACGAGGAGGAGAAGGCGTTCGAACCTTGAATCGAACCGAAGACGGTGTATTTGTACAGCGGTCGCCGGCTAGATGTCAGACGATATTATCGGGCTGCTTGGGAGAGAGAGACGATATTATCGGGAACGTGAATGTTTGAACGGCTTTACCATAGAAGCGGCTAATCTGTCAGCTCCCGCGAGCGAGCAAACAGAAAGCGCAGGAGAGGAAAAAACACGCGACTTTGTTACGAATAAGCACAATCGCGTCTTTATCTGGGCGATAATGAGTTATGGCAATTTGCGCGGCTCGCCGGCGTTCGGAGAGAGAGAGAGAGAGAGAGAGAGGAGAACTACGTGGGAGAGTCGACGAGAACTCGCGCGCGATAAAGACGAATCGCGCGACCGGCGAGTTCCGCGTCGAATTTCAACGATCGAGCGCGCGTTCGGAGGAGAGAGATCGATTGATAACGCGGAGGAACCGCGAGGCCACCACCCACCGTTCGCGAACCGGCGATACCGGAAGACCCGGGGAAACGATCGCGGCCTCGATTCGCGGAATCTAGTTTCGCGTCCGAAAACGAGGGGTATTCTTCCGCAACTGAGGTGCCGAAGCGTGCGGCGGGACCGTGTTCGAGATGCCCGCCGAGAGGTGATCCCCACCTTCCGCGCCGAGGAACCGATCGTACGAGACAGATCCGTGATGGTAAGTCTCCTCCACGCGTACCTACGGTCCACCGTGTCGCCGTTATCAAGCGGGTAAAAATCCTATCTCCTAAGATCAACCTGTTCCCCCCACCTCCGCTCTCTCTCTCTCCCTCTCTCTCCTTCTATCTGTCTACTTCTCTGTTTGTCTGTCTGTCTGACGACTACCCCTCTTCTCATTTCTCTCCTAGCCGATCGCGGTTCTTTCCTTCCTCCCTCTACAACTAGCCGTCTTCGTCGTGCAAACACCAGCTCGGCTCGTCCCTCCGTATCTGTGATAACCCGCACCTACACCGCTAAATGACGTGGGAGAGTAGGGACCTGTCGTCGACCAGGTCGACTCGCGGAGAAAAGGGGAGTAATTAACGGGGGTAAGCGCTCCCGCGGGGAAAACCCTCCCTCGGCTGCCGATTGCGAAATTGGGCGTTCGCTCGCGAGACGGCGGCTACCATCTCTACCGCGCGACCGTTTGTCATTAGCTTTCCGTCTGTGGGTTATTGTTAAATTGATATCCGTGAGTGTCGAAATCGAGAGCGAAATTTGCACGAGAGAGAGAGAGAGAGAGGCCTGCCCAGTCTCGAGTAATTTATGATCGGCAGTATGTGTGTGTGTGTGTGTGTGTGTGTGTGTATGTGATACCTGATGGTGCAACTTAGAAGGTACACACTCGTTTGGTTGGCCCTGATAAAGCGGATTCGCACGGGCGTATCTTTCTCCTTGAAAAATGATCACTTATTCTCAAATTGCACCGCCAATCGCCGCCAGTTGCTTCGCACGCAGCTACTTCCCGCGTTTCCCTCTCACGTGTGTTAGGAAGAAGAAAGGAAATGGCATTAGCAAGGCGTCGTCAAGTTTCGTAGTTTGGCGTCGCGGCTTCCGATTAATTCAGCCTCGATTAACGTGACGTCGAGCGTGTTATCTTGCATTCATTAATGCGGCCTTTAATCCGAATAAATGGATATCTCGTTAATGTTATGGAAGAAGCGGCGAATGTATCTGTCAAAACAGAGCCCACGATGCCTCTTAATTTACTAATCGTTGAAATGTCTTTTTCACTTAAATGGAACGACCAACCGTCGAATTCCTCGCGACTTCGAAGCGCATCCACCTCGAAGTACAAATCATCGAGTAGAAGTTTAATTCACCTCACCCTCTGGGAAGTTCTGCAGGAAGAATTGAAGCAGATCGGATCGGACAATTTCGGACAAATCGACCGCCAGAATGCCGAGGTTGTGATTAAAGCTGAAGGTGGATACGTAAACGGGGGCAAAATCCGAATGAAAATATCGCCTTCAACTTCAACATTATGCATGAACTTTAATGAATATTGCATAATATTGTATAAAGCTTCTGCAATAAACCGTACGGAAAGCAATTTTATTCTGGCCCGGCGAATTTCTCAGTTACCGCACGGAACAGCAAAGGAAAGCTTGAGAAGCAGCAGAAATTTTCATTGAGACGGCGAAAAGACTTTTTTCAGAATATCAATTACTATTTTTTGCCGGATATAAAGACAGCGAAATATCATGGTCATGCCGATTAAACGTTTTGCTGCACGGGTAAAATTATTTCGTCCGTGTAACAAATCTCCTCGCCGTCCGCGTAGTAAAAGAAAGTGTTGCTGCGCCGGCAAAATATTCCTTTCCGTGCAGTAGTTACAATTACATGCGTTTTCTCCTTACTTAAACCGCCGAGGCCCGAATAATTTTAGCGTTCGTTCAGATCAACGGCCAACGGTACCGTAGATCTTGTTCTAAAAAGAGATAGAAAAAAACACGGAAATACGAAGGAGCAACCGTCGCCGGACGGGGGGGGGGGCGTCTTTCGAAAGCGCGCGCTTCCACCCTCGAAGTTCCCGCGTTATTGGGGAAACGGGGCACCCCTACTCGGCGGGACGTGCCGTTCGCGACGCACGGACTGCGACGAGGTTTTGGCTTTCAGTGCGGTGTTGTCTAAGCTCGTTTCTAGTCAACCTCCGGGAGCAGAAGCTCACATTGTGGACCCATTATGATTTAATAGAGCCGACGTGATGTACACACGCACGCGCCCACACACACGGCCACTCGGTAAACTCTTCCGTCTATTCCCGCGCATTGCTAATGGCACACATCAAACAGCTATGTCGCTAATAGCTGACGGCTAATTGCCGGAGTTTAATTTTTACATTCGCAAGACGTTCGCGCTCATTCGAGCGACCGGGCGTTTAGGGAGCCGCGCCGAGCCGGATTCGCGCGCTCGTGTCGCTCGCTGCGATTTCCCCCGAGAAAAAGGAAAGAAAAGGGAGAACAATCAATCTTCGCCACTTGGGCACAGTCATCGTAACTTAACGCGCGAACCTTGAACGCGAGAACGTTTGAACGTTACCTCTTTTCCTCGTGTTCAATGCCGTTGGCTCGTTTAAAGTAAGATAATGTTGTGATACGGCAGACTTGAAAAAAGAGCCGGTAGACTTGTTTTTCGAAATAATCTCGAATAAATACCTTGAATAAATAGCCGGATCTCTCTCTCTTTCATTTTTTCCTTCTTTTTTCGCCTTGCACGCGAACGTAACGAACGATACCGTGAGATGACGATTGATTCAACTGTTGTTATCACGACCGGCTTTAAAATCCGCGCGCGATATAATACATTTATGTACCTAAGTGACTATTCTAAGCGACTAGCTTTAACTTTCTGTGATACGCCTCTTATTTAGATCTGCAAACATAACACACGCAGAAATAATTTCTTCAATATTTGCAGAATAAAGAATCTGAGAAGGAATGTTAGGGTTGCGGAGGAGGAGGAGGAGGAGAGAGAGAGGAAAAGAAATATTTGGCACTGGACGTCGTAAATCGAGCTATCACACTGACAGAAAATTGAAGTTAGCTTCGGTGCTAAACATATTTTATAGTAATAGCGACATGCGTATAAAGTTATCATCAGTGACGTTATAATAATACTTGTTAGAAAAGAAACGGTTCTCCTGACTGTTTTTGTGATTAAAGGTCGCACTCGGCGCGCCGAAACCAACTGCAATTTTCCGCCGGTGCAATCAGTCAGAATGTCGAATTAATCTCGCGATTTCGTCCGTTTCCGAGCAGACGCCGTGATTTGCAAGAAATTTCTCCCTGCCGTTTGTTTGCTCGCAAACCTGCCAAGACAAATGAAAATTTACGTCCACGATAAGAGCGTCGTAAATACAGCGTGCGTACACAAATTTCTCGGAAATGTTCGATCTTCCGTTCGAACGGAGATTCGCAAACAGACAGGCATGATATCGATTAATCGCCCTGTTAAAATCCATCGCCGGTGGAAGGCCTTATTTTAGCCATCCTTCGCCTTCTCGTCCGCGAATAACGCCGGTTATTCGCTCGCTAACTCGGATTTGCAGTCACGGGATGGATATCATTTTGACATCTCCCCGTCCGCGTCCTCCGCGATTACCGCCGCAATAGCGGAAACGTTCTCCGGTTACTCCTCGTGGAAGTTCCCGCCTCCGAACGGCGTAATTGTTAAGACCTTACGCGTGTAACGCGTCGAACGCTGTTTAAATGTAGGAAAACCGAGTAGCACGGAAGTTTGTGACACAAAGCCCATTAAGTTCTTTGCCATCGTTGCCGTCGTTGCAGTCGTCAGATTTACAACGCCCAGACGCGACGTGCCCGTGACGTTGACCAGATTCTAAATCGGTGAAACACTTCGTATTCGCGCGGAGGAAAAAATTGAACGAAATCCACCGTGATTTATAAACCCGATTTCTCTCTCCCTCTCTCTCTCTCTCTCTTTGTATTTGCTCGATTTCTCAGCGAGATACGCAACCTGTATATCATTCGGAGACTGTCACCTTTTTGGGATCGACGCGGTGAGAATGAAGATACGTTTCCACTCAACTTCTACGCGTCATCGTTCGATCCAACTATTCGATTTGCACTATCGATTTGAATTATCTTATCAGCTTGAGCTCCGATTAATACGGATTTTTTCCATTCAGCGGGTCCCTCGAATCAATGATGAGTAACGAAACTAAATCAACTCGATCTTCATCCAGATATAATTATGACGTGTTTCCCAGGACAGAGAGAGGAAACAGGTGATTTCTCTATTTATTAAGAGTAACGATGGTTCTTGCGTACGCTGAAAAAAGGATTCGGTAATAACTACGAAAATTTGGTGAATATTTGCCGGCCAAACCTTCGATCGCTGCAACCGAATGATTTAGTCCCGTATACTAAATATATAATATATGAAATTATAGTGCCGCATATACAATATGTGGAACTAAATAATTCGATCGGTAATTAAATGTTCGGTCTGCAAATATTCGCCGAAATTTTCGTCCTTATCAGCAAATCCCTTTTTCCGTGTACGATATCACTATTTGTATGTGCGATCCGTCTGTAAAATATCTTTTCGAGCGCATCGTTTAGTCGACGGAGTGATCTCCGTTGAAGTATGTTTCGCCGATAATCTCGAGTGAATGGCTCGCGATTGAGTCGGAAAACAAGGAAGGCAGGGAAGCCGGGAGAAACGATATTAATCGTGCATACCACCGGTAATACGTACACGCGGTTTTAACCCGGGGATCTCGCAGCGGACAACAACCAACTTCGTGAACACTTTTGCTCCGCGATCTATTAAGTAATTCACTTGTTTGCACAACGCGGACGCACGTGCCTTCGCGCGATACACGGATTCGATACGCGGATTATTACGTATTAATTTTCTTTATCTGCTGCTCCCTCGCACTCGACCGACGACGAGTTATCTCGCATGGAGAGAGAACAAGACTACTCCACCGGCGCATCGACAAATTTCGTTGGACGCTCTAAACGGCACAACCCACTTACGTTTGTAAATTACGCAGCATTCGTAGAACGGGGCAGAAGGTATGCCGGACGAGCTGAATTAGAATCGTTGTTATTACAGCAGAGCTAATGGCCAATCTGACTTTTTCTCTCGCGCTCCTTACTTCGTTCCCGAGATTAGTTCTTTATGGCTCGCTGCTGCTCGCCGTTACAACCCATTCCGGAGCACGCGTTGCCACTCGATTTTCACCGAGTGAGAAATAAAAAGTGATACCACCTCTCTCTCTCGGGAGCGTCTCGGGACGCGCATTTCGACGTGCGTCGCACGATGCACGTGCGCTTCATTCAAAGGCAGGTGGCGGCTCGCGATGCGCCCAAGACGGCGTGATCGATAATAAAAGCGGCGCGGATCCTTAAGCCTCCCGAAGTGGTGGAAGGTGAGTAAACCGATTGCTTCCGGTCGTCTACATCACACGCTTCTGTCTCGCTTTAGGCGGCCGGTCTCGCTGCCTCTAGTCGAGACCGGACTGTACCTCGACTTAGAAGACGTTGATGAGGTCTATATGAAATGGGTCAGGGTCATGCACAATGCAACCGTGTACACACAACAGCAAAACTTCCTGATGCCGGCCGAGGCGACGAAGGCTACCACGGCGTATCTCCTACGCTCCCCAATGTTCTTGTTAATAATCAATATTTACATTTATTGCATTGCTTCTCCAATGGTTTTAAGCGTATCGGCGCGTCGGAGGTAACAAACGACGGATTTTTCAGGATTAAACGGCGAACCGGGAAACTTTACTCCGGCAGTATCGATGTCTTAGTGGTAAAATGATATGTTTCTGCACGCACGCATAGTGCTTGCGTGATAAATTAATGTTTATATATATATATAGGCTTTTTCAGTACATATTTATATTACGAAAATGCGCAAAGATGGAGTTTCTCGCGAAAATTTTAATTCGCTCGTTCTTCGCGTTGAGTCGCTGCAGCCGCACGGGAGGATCGATAAGGAATTCTTCGGGAATCTCGAGGCCGGTCCAGGACATCGGCCGGTGTCACCGGCAACCCATCGGTGAGCCCTCATCCTCGCCGCTAACCAGCTCGGGCTTTTCTTTATTCGCGGCGGAATAAGGCGGGACGCTTAATCGCAACGCCGAAGCGTGTCCTCCAATGGTGTCCCGAAGGATGCGATCGATAGGGACGACCTGACGTCACGGGAACGTCACGGAATTCATTACACAGGCCAAGCCGGCCGCTTTAGCTGGGTGGGCTTAAAAATTAAAAGGCTCTCAAACAAAAACTCCCTTTTTACTTCCAGCCTCGTGGGATGTAATCCCTCCTCTCCGGCAGTGGTCCGACCGCCCCCACCCCCTTCCTCTTCATCCCGAATTTCGACGGTGAACTGAAAACAAGCCCCTAAGACTTCACCTTCCCCGCCTCCTCGTCCCTCCTGCGCCCCGGCGCTCATCCTTTCGCTCGGAAGCCGAGGAGAGCGAGCGGTCGGCGCCCACCGAGATCCGCGATGTACTTTTTCGTACTTCGGCCCTCCCCCTACCCTCGCGAAACCCTTCCCTCTCGCGGCGCATTACGCTCTGTTTGCGGGAGATTCGGCGGCCGATACAGCAGAGGACGATGAATACTCTTAATGGAGCCCCAGTTCAGAGTTACCTCTTAATGGAGGTGTATCCGTCCGATTGCGTTCGGCTGTGACGGCCGAAAGTCGCGGAAGTGGGGACGACCATTTCTTTTTTTTACCCCGGGCTTACAAATAATTTTTACATGAAGTCTTTGAGCACGCTGAAAGAGGAGACTTTCGACGCGCGCGACAGCCGATTTCGCGACACGGTGGAGAATCGTTTGTCACTTTAACACGGGGAATGTGTTAATAAGTACACGAGTATAAAAGTGTACGAATCGAGCCTCTGGTAAGGGTGGGGTCGGATTGACCCCGCCGCTTCGTTCATTTTGCAGCGCGCACATGATTTTGCAGCTTCGGATTTTATCGCGTCTAAACAAATTTCATCATTCGCACGCTCCAAAGGAACTAACGTTTCGATTAATACGTGCGGTCGTTAGACTTTTCAACGAATACGTATCTTTGTCTTAAATAAAAAATTTACTTGAAACGCAAGACAATTTTCCTATAAAGAAATTATTCGTTTCATTTTACGTATTTATTGTAACCAAATAATATTTGATCTGGTTGAAAGGTATGATTTCAAATAGCGTTCTTTCTGTCAAATAATAGAGTTTTCTTGAATGAGACAATATAATTTTTACTCAAACAAATAACATTTCGTATTAACTAATTTTAGTCAAATAAATAGAAATGCTAAATCTAAAGAAAGCTTTTTCTCTGTATAGAAGGTTAAATTCACCTTCTTGTGTTGATTTAACATCATACATATACATTTTTCGACACATAATTGTATACTTTTTAGCATATTCCACGTGTTAAAGTAACAGAAAATTTCAGTGGACTGTTTTCAGCAGAAAATTGTGCAATTAAAGATGCAGTGTGCGCGCGTTTCCCCCCGGGATGAACTGTGGACAGACGGGAGTCGGGGATGCGCGAGATGCGCGCGAAGGGGGTGGAGGGATTACGAGAGCTCGTTGAGAAACACGAAGGAGGCCGGCGTGTTAACAAAAAAACGTTCGTGATTTATTTACAAAGAGATAGGAACAAGCAACGGACAACAAAGATTTCCGGATAAAGGTTCAAAACGAATGGGAGCGCGACGGTGGTCCCAGTTCCGCAGTTCTTCCGAGTATTATCCCGAGAATATTATTCCTATATTCATGTAGAGAAACATGCGAATGTGTGTGTGTGGGCAATTGGAGCGCGCGGCGATCGGTGCCGACGTCGTCGTACCGGCTTCTGTCGATTAATAAAAATCATCGCTTTGCGAATACACGAATTGGAATGTTCTTCGGCATATCAGTCACGCAGCAGCCGCGAAATTTCAGGTACCTAAAGAAGAACCCCGCGAGCCCCTACTAGGCCGCAGCGGCAAGCGTTATAAAGGACTGTTCTGTATCCTCTGATTTAGGTTCCCGTTTACTTCCTTCTTCGTGTCCGCCTCGGTCGTGGCGACCTCCTCCTTCGCGAACTCGCGCCTCCTGTCGCTCTCCGCCGCGCCGTACAGATCCAGATTCTTGCCCAGGTACCAAACCGCAGCGTCGAACAGCACTCCCACCACGGTGAATCCTGCAACGCGGGAGGAACAACGGGCTCTTAGCGACGGGAAGGAGAAATCGGAGTGAGATCGGCCGATGAGCAACGAACAATCGGTCGCAGGGAAATATTTCGATTTATCGGCCGTCATCTCGACATCCCGATTGATTGCCGTTATCTTCCCGTTCGTCGGCACCCTCGGCACCCGCCGTATTTATCTATTATCTAATCGGCGAGATCGATAGCGCGCGCCCAGGGTCGTTCAACTCGCGACACTCACCGGCCGCCGAGACGTTCACGTAGTATCGGAAGTTCTCCTGGTGGTGGAACCAGCAGTTACCCCGATTCCCGCAGGACTCCTCCCATATCAGGCAGGTCGAGTCGATGATGGCCCCGTAAATGATCGGGCCCGGGATCAGGGCGAACAGGGAGATGAACATGAGCGTGACGCCTTGAGCGAAGCTCTTGTCCCGCTTCTCGACGCTCCTGTAGTTCACCAGGACGTTGCCGATCTTACCGGAGCAGGCTAACGAGTGCACCACGCAGGAGAGCACCGTGAAGAAGAGGTACGGCCGGTTGCAGTCGTTCGTGCACGGACCGGCCCGGACTTTGTCGTACGTCGGCCCCTCCGCCGGCTGCTGCACGTGCTGCTCCGGTAGGAACGATCTGCTGCCGGGGATCTGCTCGAGCTGGCTCAGGAGATGGCTCGACGGCTCGTCCAGCGGCAGGCAGCTGCAGTTGCCGAACTGTTTGTCGTCCAGGAACGCCCGGCATCCCGCGTGGCAGGCGGAGAAGAAGGTCGTCCTCGACGCCTCGTGACAGACCGGCGAGTACTTGACGCCCGCGCAATTGCAGTCGGTGTTGCAACTGGCTGTCAGATTGATTCTGCGAACAGACGGACGCGAGTGGATTTATCTTAAGGGTAAATTCGTGCGAATGCCAAAAGGAATTAGCTCCCACGGCTGAAAACTTCGCCCCTCGGGTGAAAATCGGCCGCCCATGCGATGCAACTGATATTTAGTTAATCCGACGGATTCTTTCGCCTACGGTGATTAATTGGGACCGGTAATGAGATTTTCATTGTATCATAATGGTAATCTAATTCCATCCTTCCGTGTTATCGCGTATTGATCCGAAAGGTCGATTCGAAGACATACTCACTGCATGGTTTCTAAGTCGACACCGCGAATCCCAGCGCTCGTACACCCGAGAAATATGAAAGACACCTGTCCGGCGACGTAGCAAATGCCGACGAGTACGTTCCACGCGAGGAGCGGCCTGGAGCTCGGTTTGAACTTGCTGATTATCAATCCCGACAATAAAAATCCCAATACCATTCCTATTAATGATATCGGACCTGTGAACAATAATGAGGGAGCTCGTGTCACACAGAATTGCATCGCGCATCCCCTATAAGCGCATAACATTGTTTAATATCAAGCAATATTTCGGGAATATTAATAAATGATTATATGTCCCCTTCTGATAATATTAAAAAAATAATATTGTTAATATTAAATATTTTTTTATATTCAACACGATATATATATAATATATATAATTGTAGTTTTTTATTTCAAATATATTGCAACACCAATTGTTTTATTATATAAAGTCGAAATAATTTTACGTAAAAATATGTTTTATACTAAAAAAATTATATATATATATTTTGCTATATTATTATTATTTTATTCTTTTTTCAATGTTTTAAGGACATTTTATAATATGCCAAGAATGTTATGTGAAATGGACATATAACATCAATAGATTGCACATTCCTATAATATTAAAAAATATTACATAACATTCTTAGAACATTATAGGAATATTATTTTAATATTGTGTAATATTCATATAATGTTCTTGGAATTTTACACGCTTACAGGGTCTCTGACGAGAGGAGCAGCATTTTTACTCGAAATAGATCGCTTCCATCCTCAAGAACAGTATATCATGAGATATCGTAAAATATATGGTACGATAAAATTATTCAAAAATCGAGAATTATAATTTTATCACTTAGCGAAAGCTGACAACGAGAGCATTATTAAACGTAATCGCATGGCATATATTACGTAAGACGTCTTTCTAATAGTAAGGAATGTACATCATACATGGATTAACGTGTGTACCTGCTATCACAGTACCGCCAGCCGCGGACGTACTGTATTGAACTTCGAGATACTTCGCCAGGAACGTGAAATAGACCGATCCGCCGAGCACGTAAAATACGGAGCTCAGATTGTTGCATGTCAACAGCCAGTTCGTCAACAGCCGCTTCATAGCTTTCGGAAATTCGCGGATTGTCGGTATGTACTCGACCTCCAGAGGTATCGGTTTGCTGGGTTCTATGTGTATCGCGCACTTCTGCTGAAGCACGACGTCTAGCTTCAAAGGTACTTCACCGTCCTAAATGAAAATCTCCCTGTTAATTGGCGGGGACACGGGGAGAGATCTCAGCGAGCCTTAGCTGGGAAAAATTTCCATCGGATAAGCCGATTAAATGACGTGTCCGATTGTTAGTTTTAGTCCGATCAGGTAATCAGGGCGCCTTCGTCCGATGAAGTTACCGATGCAGTTACCGATGAGATCTAATCGGGAGATTAGTCGCCCTCCGTTGTATATCTGTTGTCATTTTCGCCGGGCAAAGGCACGACTTGTTCGGACGAAGTGACGAAATGATCGGACGGTTGCATTTGATCGGATACTTTCGTCTTTTATTTTCGTCTTACTCTTCAATTGGATCATCCGACCAGATATGATCGAATATTTTTCTCAATGCTCATCACTCCACGTGCATGTAGATGCGTGTCAGATAAATGTGAACAAATTCGTGTCGAAAACACTGAAATCTCGTGTTATTTTAACACGGAAATGTGTTAATTTCTCTATTAAATCGCGTGCTTTTCAACACACACGTGAGTATATTTCAACCATGCGTTAAAGTAACACCAAATTTCAGTGGCTCAGAATTGGTGCTCTCAACGCGAGATCTTTTTTTTATCATTGTGCACTACATATGAAACAGCGCGCTTTTCTACGAGACGGGGCGAGAATTGTCGGATGAAGACGTCACAGATGTCGAAATCTCTATTACGAAGCACCGACCGAGGGATTAATAACAAATACATATATCGGTCTTCGACCTCGCTTCTCGACGAGAAGTGGGTCTTGATGTGACATTTCGAGTTCATCGATCGTATCTGGAACGTGTGATTGATAATAATATCTTCATCGTAACCGTCTGTGCTGCGAATTACCTTCTTGGGAGTATCTTTCGACGTCGGAAGATTACGTGGGAACATGGCGATCAGAACGGCGAACATGCCCATCGTGACGCCGAGGATGATCCAGCCGAGCCACCAGGCGCCCAGCCATCGCGGGTCCTTCTTCGTGATAACAGGATGGAGCTTCGGGTCGATGTATAAGCTCAAGCAGGCGTAGCTCAGCAGGAATCCGATCGCCGGGCCCACAGTTCGTAAAGCATACGTAAAGCCTGACACGTGAAAATCGGAGGCGGTTAGTATTCGTTCGATCACGCCCTATCAAAGCGGCAATGATCGTGCACTGAAAAAGAGAGTTCGGTAACGATCTACTTTTGCTTACTGCGACCGAATCATTTAGTCGAGGCTAAATGTTCGGTAATTGTCACCAAGCTCTCCCTTCAGTGTGCGTGTCGCGAAAATAGCGACAATGAATACGCGGTCCCCGTGTCCTTGTTATTAGACGCATCTGAATTTCTTACGCTTCGTCGACTCCCGAGGACCAGCTTTCTAATACGGCTCGTCTATCGGTCGAGCTGTGTTAAGGAGCCATTATTCTGTAAAAGATCTTTTTTACGACGTCATTTCACGAGGCTGTTACAATGGCCTTGAATGGATGTGAACCCGCTTAATTGCATCGTTGATAATAACGAGAACAGACGTGAGTGTTGAGCGCGTGTCAATTGAGATTCCATTGTGTTTCGGTTTGTTTGCGACTTGAAACTTCAAATTCCTCGCTTACTAGCGGAAAAACCAATTTTTCTGTGAGAAGCATTAATATTGTTTACGAAAAATTACGGGTGACTCGAAAAGGTTGCAAAGGCGCCGTTTGATACCGAAAATTCTTCCAGTCGAGTAAGAATAAAATCAGCAGCTTTTCTCCTCCTAATTAGCAGCTTTCCTCCTGCTCCCGTGTTCTGTTAAAGGATCGAAACGCGTCTAATAATACGGCCAGGGGCTGTAATTCGAATGGCGACAACGGGTTCTCGCGATGGACAAAGTTTGTAAAAATGAAGGAAAGAGACCGAAGTTGCTTCGGGTGGAGCTGAGTGAGCGGCGATCACTGAAATATTCGCCGCTTGCGCAAATCTATCGGCAACCCACCGTCGAAGGATAACGTGTTACGAATTTCTCGTTCCTCACTTTCGGCAATCAGGTTTTTCAGCTTATCGCGTGCCAGTAGCGAACGTTTTCCCATCGTGTCGCTATTGGCGAAAATCAGATATAACTTTCTCCGTCTTGATGGACTTTTTAGCGATTTGAAAGATTCCGTCGAGCGTTATCGCGAGTAGAGTAAACTTATCGATTAAAGCTCACCCAAGAGCATAGGTGTATTTTTCTTCTTCGTATTATCGTCCAAGTACGTCTGTCCCAGGCCGTAGTAAAGCGTAGTTCCGATGCCAAGGATAAATTGAGATATGAAAACCAGCAGTCGGGGGAGGAGGTTGACGCTTATCATGGTCTCGGCGTCGCATTGCTCCGGATTGTCCGTGCGCGGACAAATCGCGAGATCCTTCGGGACCGTCGTCGTATTCAGCAAAGTCTGATCCAGATATTCCTTCGTCAACGCCAATGCGTCCTTGCCCGGGCCGTATATGAAGTGCGGTAGAGCCAAAACGAGGCAGGATAACGCGCTCAGGCCGACGCCAACCGCGATCCACCTCGGCCGATGACTAGATCCTCCGTAGTAGGTCAAGATCAAAGACAAGACCTGAGAGATCTCGTTGCCGGAAAGGATAAGCCCTGCGAGAGCAGTTTGCGTGAAACAGCTGGACGGATTTTATTCTATCGTTTATAGGAATATAAATGGCGCTTATTCCCGCTATTCATACGTTGAAAGATCCGCCGGTTAATTTCTCCGGGCCCCGCTGAAATTGCTGTGCTACTTTAACAAGGTGGCTATGTTAATTTATATTCGTGCACTTCCCCAACGTATTCCCGTGCCAAGGTGCGAACATTTCAATAGCTGCTTACACGAGATTCTTTACCGCGCATAGTCTGAATGACGAACTTTTATGTACTCAGTTTCCGCGATACGATTATTCTAACAGCTTACTTCCTTCCTTTATTTTGTCAGTTGCCTCCTGTGATAAAGTCTAACAGTTCCAGCGGCCGTTTGTACGATCTTTCCTCAAAAAGCGGAGTTGTATCAAAGTCGCGAGATTTGTATTTGTATATTTTAATAACCTCCGATATAGAGAAAACTACTCGAGCATATTAATCATCCAAAATACCGCAAAAAGGAAAGAGAGAGAGAGAGAGATATCAAAAAAGAAAAAATTTACAGAATGGAAAAGAATTTTTTATTATTAGAAACGGAGTGAATAACATCTTCGCTGTTCGATATACAGAGAAATAAAGCGTAATTACGTTCGTTATCAGGTGTGAGATAATAAAAAGTGCCATTAATCATTTCTGCGCGCAGTGAACCCAGTGTTCTCGGCAGCGTGAAAAGAGCATCGCGTTATTCCGATATCAAATTGCGGCAAGTGTGTACATAGGTGTATCGATCGTTCAAGGTAATGAAGTCGTTTGCCTCGTACGTGAAAAACTACGCACCGTCGCGTCTGTGTACGACTGTGACGCGTGTTTATTGACTCAAATCTCTCTCTCTCTCTCTCACTCTTTCTTATCGTCATTTAAATACATAATCGATTCGTTAATTAAACATATTTCGTATTTTCCGTCTAATCGTACATGAAGGTGAGCGCGCATTGTGTGCATTTCGAATGAAGAAATAAAAAGCACGCGCGCACACGGCGCGGCTCGCCGCTTCTCCTGTGTGCAAAACGCGTCGAGTATTTCGCGAGCGCGCGCGAGCGAGCGACAGTAAAGTCGTGCGTAACGCACGACCGCGTGTCTTTGCTCCGCGGTTGCTCGATGTCCCAGCGCTCGCTCTGCTCTAACGACAGATTTGTCACTTCTATGATTGCGACACACTACTTACCTACTAGATAAGTGCACACGGAAACGCGCGAACCGTGCGTGTGCAAGTACGTGTACTTAAACGCGCGAGTATACCCGCGACGCTCGGTTACTCGGCTTCGCCTCTCGGCGACGGAGAATCCGAATCGTCGAGGGCGATTAAGGCGCCGCGATGACGTTGAAAAAATCCCGTCACGTATCGTGATGAAAAGCAAGCTCACCGATCGCCGGGCGCGAATCATTTCTCTCTCACTCTCTCTCTTTCTCCCCTTTCGCGCGTTTCAGCATGTTTGTCGCTGTGACGTTGCGAAATAATTAATCCTCAGGATCTCACGGGAGATCTCGAACGTGAGTGACGCCTGTATTCGCGAAATGATAGTGCGACCTCGGTAACATTATATCAAATGTAGTATATCACTTGTCCCGTGTCATGTACAGTTTTACTATATAGGCGATTACGGGTGAGTGAGAGACTCACCAGTTGTACGACTGGGTATCTTGAATCTCTTCTCCAGCGTCGTCAAGGTGACGACGATGTAGATGAAGGCCATCGCCTGAACGGTGCCCAATAAACCGTACACGGCGATGAAGTTCCTCGGGGTGGCCCGATTCCGCAGCCATCGGGGGTAAATGCCGCATATTCCGCAGTCTTTACTCATACCTCCGGCAGCCCTGGAAAGAATCGATTAGTGGAATCTCTGATTGCCTCTCTCGGAGGTGATCATTCCCTTAGGCTCGACATCTTCCCAAGCCGAGCTTCCTACGGAGGAAAATATCGTTTGTCAACGCGCTTCTCTCTCTTTCGGTGTGTGTGTGTGTGTGTGTGTGACTGCACCGAGAAAAAGAAATTGAAATTTTCCGAAGTATATGTTTCTTGTGACATTTCCCTCGATATTTACCGATTGGAAGACAAATTTCATTGTAACGACGGAATAGAGATTTTTCGTGAAATATACCCGAGTCTTCTTATTCATTAGTTTATTCGCCAGGAATAACATCTTATCTCGCCGTATTGAAATAAACGTTTATTTCTGCGAAGTGAAAGCTTTGCGCTTCCTATATTTCGGGAAATTGTCCCGGTATTCAGTTTTCGGGATTGCGGCTTCACAGTGGGACGTCGTTGTACTTTTCGAATTTCGGCACTTTTCTCTGCGGAGATATGCGCGTCCATCGGTATGAATTCTGGACCGGCCGCCGTCCCGAGTTATTTCCGTCCGGAATCGCCGATTTCTTTCTCTCCCGGCTCTCGAGGAGAAAAATTGAACTTCGCGACGCCACGAATGCCACGCGACCCCATTAATAACGCCGGAATGCAAAACACAAGAGCTGAGGGGTGCGGAGGAAACAAAGCGTCGTTGTTGTATCAACGGGAGAGAGAGCCCGATGGTGACTCGCAGCTTCAATCGTTAACGTCGTCTCTCCGTGCGGAGAGACGAGGATGAAGGCTGGCTGGTACGCGTTATATCGGATAACGCAAAAAGCAGTGAAAAAAAACAAAAAAAAAGAAGAAGCGTCGCGGTCATCCGAGATGTCTTTGAGTCGACGCTGCATGTGGTCGGTGACTGCCACTTGCGACGCATTCAGCTTCAGAAGCGCGTATGCATCGTCGCCGGCGTGTGTGTCATGCGGGGGTTTTGAAAAACACGCGACACGTGCGTGCAATACAGGTCGCGATAAGAGTCGGTATTATCTTCTCGCCATAAATCGTGCATATAATTATTAGACGCGTTAATTAACGACGATAAGTACCGTTGCGCACGTTCCGCGGATTCTTCAACGCGTCCGTAGATGCTGCGAGCGAGATAGGCGGCCTCTTTTCGAATTTATGCAAATCGCGTGAGTTACGTAACGCTCCTGATCCTTCTCTTCGCTACCAGAAGTCCGCCCGATCGTGTGATTCGCGCACATCCGTAAACAGGAATGAAGGAAGCGCGCCCAGCGCAATCGCGTTCTATTCTAATTTTTCGTCTCACTCGTTCCCCCCTCCCTCTCTCTCTCTCTCTCTCTTTAAACAAAAATTGACAAACGGCATTATCTTCAAAGGCGCAATTGCACCGGCGGGAAATTCGTTCTGTCCCGGCTCGCTCGGGGAGATCGACGCCGGAGCAGAGAAACTTTTTGCGCCGTTTTGTAATAACACAGAGACAGGTATCGCTTGTAAACAAGCGATCCATTTGCACAAAGTCGAGGAGTCATTCTCGATAATATTAATCGTTGCGTCCGTGCTAACTTGTGCAATACAGTGTGTTTCACAAGAGCGTGACCTGCATAATTTCAAAACTGTTCGTTATGATAAGAAATGAGGAAAATTAATATTAGCGTTAAGCGTTTTATATTAACAAGTCGCCGTCGTTGATAATAACCGCTCGGCACCTTTGAAATAGATTTTCCGCTAAACTGATCGATAATAACCCATCCGAGAAAAATCCCCGTATCTCACGAATCTGTCGAACTAATCGTATCTACACGTGTAGAAAATGTAGTGAATAACGGTCCGCTGAAATTTTCGTCACTTTAACACTGAAACTTACCGACGATTAACCGGTGTACCTTTCTACCAAGACGGTTTAAATAAGATTTTTGAAAAAAAACCACGTAAATGCAAAGGAGAAAAATATTCACTCGTTTACATATTGCGACAAAAATTGCGGGACATCTCGGAAGGAATGCACCGACAGAAATTGGAGTGGCTTTTATAAGAAGAAAAAATTACGAACCGGTCATTTCGACTCCGGTAGTTTCAGTGTTAACACGGGAGACATGTTAGACATGTCGAAAAGTACACAAATATAAATTAACATATTCGTTTCGTCGACTTGTTACTTTGTAACATATTCACCTCGTGAAAATAACCTCAACAATCCCAACGGACCGCTATTTATACAAAATATTTCACCGTGCAGCGCCGGAAGGCGAGGTTACGTCGAAGAAGAATGATCTCGCACCGATGACGATCGATATTCCTTCGCGGCCTGGCATTTCTCCTCTCGACGCGCTTTTTCGGTCGGCTTTTTTCACCGTGCCTCGCCGTTTCAAGGTGCACATAAGCATGCGAATGTTTCGAATGCTTTCGCAGGATTTACACTTTTCTCCTTCAACTTCGCGCGTTTACGCAACTCCTTTACGCAACGACAGTCCACGGTTTTCGGTAAACATCCCCGGTCGACCCTCTTTGTCCGTCGTTTGTATCACGTTTCGCACGAACGTTTACACGTTTCGACAATCACCGACGGTTCATCTCCACCTCTGTTATACACGCTATATTCCGAATATACATTATACGTGCTACATGCCCGCTCAGAAATGACGCATCCAATAGTATCCAGCAAAATGTCTCGCCGCTCGCGCTCTTGTTAGACAGACTGTACTTTGTAACGATTCTTATACGCCGGTGTACATAGTACCGTCTCCGCTTCCCTCCCCTCGTTTAAAATTCCGATTGAAAACGCAATCACGAGAACTCCGTTCGACTTTGTTTATTCCACATCCTCAAGCTCGACGGGAGAAATCCGCCCGTACGTGGCTCTGCGCACGCACGGTAAATTATTATAAACAATCAAGGGACGCGCGCAACCGCGGCGCGTAAGTGCAGCCTCGTTTAATTCGTCGCTCGGGATACGCTCGCCGCCGCTTGTTTCGTAATTACTCTCGCCGTCCGTATACCTGAGGTGTATCGTGAGACTTACGTAATTGTAATTCAACCTCAGAACGAGTCTCGTAGCCGGCGGAGGGACGCTAATCTGAACTTTTCAGCAGATTATCACTTCCGTTTTCGCTGCCTCCGAGGAGATACCTCGTAAAAGAGCGCGTTTAAGGAGCAAATTACGCAATTATGTAGAATTCTATCATCGCTTTATCTAAAGGGAAGAGATTGCTCGAACATCAAAGGAGGCGTCGGCCTCGACAGAAATTTTCGGCCCGTCCTCCCTTCGCCTCCCCCCCCCCTCTTTTTCACTCCTCCCGCCTTCCCGAAGAGCGCGATCGCAATCGCGATATCGCGGCACACGTTATTATTTCGCTATTAAACCGGTCTACGCGAATACTTATGTAATTACGGCGGCCGGGTCTGCGTCTTCGAGCGGCGAAGGTGAGCTGAATATTTCATTTCTTTCTTTTTCTCGTTTTTTCTTTATTTTTTCCTTCAAAGACAACGAGTCGACATTGATTGGCCGGCGCGACGAGCGACGTTCGTTGCATCGGAAACATTCTAAGCGCTCATTCGCAAGATACGATCGAGCCGATCATCATCGCCGAGATGTTACGCGAGATACATACGATTATGTTACACTGGGCACGCGGTGCTCCTTGCGACTTCTGAATTCGTTTTGTTATTATATCTCTCTCGGAACACGTTCGAAAGCCGTGCGCACCGATCCCGCCTTGATCCCTGCGCGAAATAAAAAGAACGGAGCGACTTTCGAATGTCTGAATGCGGCGAAGGAGCACTTTCATCGGTCTTTAAGAAGAGAAAGGTACGTATCAGAGATACGTTCTCACCTTGACCTTAGACCCTGGTGGATATACACAGGAGGGACTTCCGGGCCGCGATTCCTACTGGATCGCGATCCTCGAGCAGTTCCTCGCTCGCCGAGTCGGCTCTTGTCTACCGGGTAGCTCGGAAATCACTACGCGCGCCGCGGGCGCTCTAGTTTGTGCGAATAAACGCGGGATAACTGAGCTTGCTCGTATGTCAATGGCAATGCTCCCCTACTATTTCTCTATCAAATCGAATGATAAGCGGAACGTCATTCAAAGGACACCGCCAATAAGGCACCGGTGCTGACATCTTATCGCCGGCATCCCAAGCGGGTGACGCTCGGTAGCCGGCGGCGTCGCGCGTGGTTGGAATCCGTGCTAAAGCTCTCTCTTTCTCTCCCTTTCTCCCTCTTTTCACGAAGAAACGAGGCGCCCAAGCGGGGTCTACGGTGAGAATTTAAGATTTGAGAAATTGACCAATCATAATTGGTTTTTCTTCTATAACTCGACTGTGATTGATCAATTTTTTTCAGGCTTTTCTCAGAGCTTAAAGCATCTATCGTAGGTCGGGACTCACGCAACTGTCCCTTCCGATGGAACGGTACCCGGGCAACGCGAGAGAACGGAATCGCGGTAGGAATTCGTGTCGCTACGAAAATAACGCGACTGGCGGTTACCATCGACTGGAACAATCGCGCAAGGATCGAGGGAGGTGTCGGGCCGCACAGAGAGTACATCTTTTCACACGACTCTCTCGTCCGTGAAGATATTTTTAGTCACCGGAGGACGTCACGCGGCCCGAGAAAATTCCTCATCCTTTAAATCCTGACGAAATATTTACGCGCTGATACGAATTATTTGCGCGCGAGATTACGACGAGCTTTGCACGTTGAAGCTGCAGGTGATCGCACAACTATAACCGCGTATTTGTGTCGAATGAATTTAAATATTCGGAGTATATGACGCTGAAACAAAGGAAATTATTATAATCCGATGTTAGAGAAGTGCGTGAAGTAAAATTCTGTCTCCTAGTATATTATATGGTGGAAAATCGTTTCCTAGTACATTATATGGTGGGATTTAATTCACGGTCTCTATTAGCTGGGAAAACCTGGAAAAGTCAGGGGATTCTCAGGGAATTTTATTGGGAATCGGGGAATTTTCAATGGACACATTTGTCTGTAAGTCATATATTGTGTGACTGAATTTTGTTGACTGACATTTTCTTCATTAAGAATCATAGAAGAAAGCACAACTTTACGACTAATCCGATATTCAATAGTGATAAGATAACGATTTCGTGTTGGTTGCAATTTTGTTCGATTAAGTTAGATATTTGTACTTTGATAGATTTATAAAAGTTGCATTTTGTACCGGTTATTACATCATTTTTTGTTTCGCAACTTGTAAAAATAAAATTTTTAAGTTTTAGACAGTATAAAATATTAAGTGTTCAGAGTTTACCGTTCTTTTCGAAATTTTTCAAATTTAATCACTGAAACCCGAGCGATTCATCATTTTATTTTATGATTAATAAACTTTTATGAATGGAAAATATTAAGAACTTTGAAGAATGAATAAATATATTATTTGCAAGACGCGTTTAAAATTACACTCATTTCACCTGAAATTTCCAACAGATTGGAAAATTACGGAATCCTCAGGGAATTTTTTTTCAGATCGAGTAGACATCCTGTTATTGTGTTGTTGTTAATTCGGATTAATCCTTACACGAGCAATTTTCAAACACGTCTTATGCGGCTTCCGGATTCTCTTTCTCTCATTTTGAACGTTACACAATAATATTTGATTTTTTCCTTGAAAGGATGTCCTATAAACGCCCCGTGGAGGACTTCGAGACGTCCTCAGGACGTCTTTAGGACGTGTGAGTAGTGTATCGCTGCGAAGCGATAATAAACGAATAAAATATACCTTATGTACGAAGTACGTTGCCATTCGAAATATCGTTTCGTCATCGGTATCGCCGGCTTTGTTTGATCGAAAATTAACGGCGCGATATACGCACGTAGTCGCGAGGAGTGCCAAATCATCATGTAGTGTCATCAGCGTTGCGGCAGACTGGTTATTTTCGCATAGTTAGTTATGCTCCCGCGACGAGGGCGGCGGCCCTCCTTTTGCCTGTTTTGCGAATCGCCGCGACGATACGCGCCCGATCTCGCAAGGCCATTAGATTTATCTTTAGCCGGCAAAAACGACGACGACGACGACGCCAGCGACGACGACTGCGACGAAGACGAAACTACGTCGACGAGATCTTCTCTGTCCGGCGAGTGTCGAGAGATTTGAAAGCGCGCTCAAGCGTCGTTCAATATCAATGATTAACGTTTACGATCGGTGATTGACGAGTATCGCGCTTATCGTAAAACTCGAAGTGACGAATCGTGGGATTCACATTGAGAAATGACGAAAGTCGGCGATTATTCAGCGACGTAACGGGACGGGAGCGAGAGATCTTCGTTTTCTCACACCTCTTACGGTTCCATTTTGCGGTTACGGCTGGATCGATATGTGTGGATACGAGCACAATTAAGTGGCAAGGAAGATACGCGTAGATTTTCTCTTAATGACAATATATTTGTTTTTTCGATTTTCGGTTTAATCTATCAGATCTATCAGAGCGTATATTAATAATATTGAAGATAACAGATAATATATATTACAACCTATTTATAATTAAGCCTATATACAGTTAAACCTAGAGAGTATAGGATATCGAGGAAGGCGATGGTACCCGTGATGAAGGGCACTCCTTTCCACGTGGATTCGTAGCGTACTTTCTACTCGTCGTCCTCTTCGATTTTAACGGAAGCTTCGACGCGTTTTGTAACAAACTTCTTAATCCCGGTATCCGTTCCGTTAAGGGTTAAGTACATAAACAATGTTGTATAACTAATAGTGATAATATAATAGGAGCACAGTGGTAATAATAATAAGATAATAATAATAATAATAATATATTAATAATATAATGATAATAATAATAATAATACCATAATATAATAAAATAATAATGTTATAATGCCAATAATAAAATAATAATGTTACAATAATCGAGCGGTATGTAATAATAAAATAATACGGTAATAATAATTTATTTTCTCTATTATACCGCGGGTCGAACGGTCTCGTAATAATACTTAATCCTAAGGCCTCCTAACCTCCCTTCCTTGCTAACTTTTTACAAAGTGTTTTGGTTTCATGTCTGTCATTAATTTCTACTTACAAATCTAACAAGTCGAGCTTAAACTCGCTTAATCGTCGAAAGGGCTTGGGACTAGATGAGGGGACAGCCGCGTATCTCATGACCCGACATCCGGTCGATTAAATTTTTGATATTCCTTTAGCTCCTCGCCCTTTCGTTGAGCCTCACTCCTGTACACGGGTTAGCGCGTCGAGCGGTTGCACTAACGGATCGCTGACTAGTTTCTAATCGTTAAGACTACTCGACTGTGCTAATTAAGGCACTGGATCACTAGTAGAGTAGACAAACGTACGTCCCTTCGTACTTAACAAAGTAGTTCAATTAGATCGAGCCTCCGGGGATTCTCTCAGACGGTCGATATCGGTTCTTAAACGACAATCGCGCTTGAAACATTCACTCTTCGTTGAGAAAGTAAAAAGCGTCCGGTTCGTTTTCATTCCTCCGATCCTCGATGGATTAACATCGTCGTAAAACGTCGGCTAGTGTCGCTTCGTTCAAATCAATTGATCAATTAACATAACAAGGCCTCGAAAGTAAGACACTTCGTTGTCTCGCTGGTGTGCGATTTTAAGGCCACTGCGGTTCGACTACAAGTGTTTCGGACGATTATCGCGTGTCTCGAGTTTCCTCTTTCTTCTCGTCCTCTTCTTCCAAAATCGCGCGTGCGTCCTGTTAATACTGTTAACACGTTGAATGCCGTTAACGGTTACCGCCCAGAGAACATTAAGACGTCGCGAGGACTTCCTGAAGACAATAAGACGTTTAAAGGACGTCTTTTAGACACATACGTGTTGTTGCGTGGATGGTGACTGGCACTATGATACTATCGCATCACATTAAGTTCTATAACATATAAAATAGAATTAATTGCATTGGAAAAATCGGGTGTACGGTCAACAGAGCCAAATGGAACACAGTGAAAGATGTGTCCCAAACAACACGCGTATCTAAGATCGATATTCGCAGTCGGATCTTATATTTAAGACCGTCCCGATTTCACTTTGAAATGTTTCGCAGCCAATGAAACGAGCCGTACAACATCCGAGGATGAACTCGAGAAGATATTAAATATAAAATCTAACTACGTACGCCGGCCTAAAAGACGTTTTACAGATGTCCTTTAAACGTCTTATCGTCTAAAAGAAGTCTTCACGACGGCTTGGAACGCCTTAGTATCATCTGGGATGCGTTTTTGATCACGCTAATTTCAGGTATTTTCGGTAAATTTAATTCAATTCAATTTGATGCAACTTTCAATTTAATCATCAAGCCAGACGGCGACAACAGGTTTTCGTACAATCAATCATTGATCGGGAATTAATGCGGCAGTCAACGTGTTAATATCTCAGCTACTAATGAAGCGATAAAATAGTACCCACGAAATGTTTTACAGCCCGTAAATAACTGACTGACTGACCCGTGAAATCATGCATCCGGATAAAAGAGCAAAGAGTCGTGACAGCTGGCGCATATAAATTAAAATATCGGTGAACGAGTACTTCAGAGGACACATCCTATAATTATAACGTATTCCGTATGACTACCGTATATCTATATGTTGCCCCTGATGATCGATGGTCGATCGCAATTTATTACAAATTAGATTACAAGTGTTTCCAAAGAGAACAGATAATCGTACGGGCATAACAAGATATGAAAGCGGATCGATCGTATAAATCAATGACGCGTTAATAAATTTCCTGTCTTCGTATCGCATCACACGTATCTTCACTACTCGGAAGAATACGTTAACAGTTCGCAGGAAGTACACGGTCGGGGTTAATCTAAAGATTTGAAGATTTGTCCGAAGTACGTCTGTGTTTCAATGTTAATTAGGCTGTTCTCTCAGAAAACGCGCGCGCATTTATCTCTCGAAGCGTAAACATATATGCTTCCGAGGAATCACCACGAGATTTTCGTGATATAAATCGTCTCCCTCTCTCGCATGTTTACTTCGTATTTACTTCATCTGTAAATTCCATTGTAACGCAATACCATCTTCATCCGCCAAATTCTACCGAAGATGCGTCATATCGTATAAATATAGGAGAGAATTCTGAGACGAAGTTTCGAGGCGCTCGGTTAAAATTGCTCGGTTTCTCTTAAATCGTACTTTTCTCTTTCTCACAGCTATACTATTTTGACAATTTTATCAAAACTCGAAAGTATCCGTGTTCTAAAAGGAACATCTCCCGACTGTGCTCTCATGGTTCTTTCCACGATATAGAGTGTATCTGAATCTTTATCGACAAACTGCAGGACAGATTCTAAAAAATTCATATTGAAAAATAACAGGGCTGCCACAGATCTGGAAAACTGATAAAATCGGGAAAAATCGTGGAAATTTAACATTTCAGAGAAAACTTTAAAAAAATTAGGGAAAGATATAAAAATATTTAGAACTTTGATTATTCCTTCAAATATTCTCAACTGTTTTTTCCAACATGTATTTATTTTTTGTTGGCTTGAATTTACATTCAGGATTATATTACGTTATTGAACTTTTAAATTTGCGTTGCTTCACATGCAACATGCAATAACGTTAAAAATAATATTCGCAATATTCGAACGTGCATGCGCGTCTTTACTCCACAGATGTCAATTGTGCATTGATAAGGGAGACAGACATTTGAAACAATTTTTATAATAGTACGTATCTAATTACCAGAGTTGGATAAATTAACTTAAGACAGAAGTTAAAAGTTAACCCTTTGCGCTCGAGAGGTGACTTTCAGGCATCACTCGGATCGAGGCGATGAATCGAGCGATAACGGTGTTTATTTAGATTTGGCATAATGAATATCGCTTCACGAGTTTACTCCTACCCCTACTACTGTGACACTCCAAGGATGCATCTTGGAGATTGTTTTATAAAATACCCCGACACGCCAAGGATGCATCTTGGAGATTGTTTTATAAAATACCATACGAAGCAAAAATATAGAATGTAATGTTTAACAAATACGAAGCAAAAATATAGAATGTAATGTTTAACAAATGTCTTTCTTTGAACTTTGAAGATATGTAAAGTGTTAAAATATACAAGTTTAAAGTGTTATATTGTGTCAGAAATCATTTTAAGTTGACTGTAAAAAACTCATGAAATAAGCGGGAGCAGCTAAGGGTTAATTATATGAGACTATATATATAAATTTAACTAAACTAATATAAACTAATATAAACTAAACTAATATAAATAACTTAACTTAATTATATTTCTTTTAAATTATATATATATACATATATATATATATAATTTTGCATAATTAAATTTTAACTTTAATAAATTAATTTAATCTTAACTCAACATTTAATTAGTTTCCGTCTAAGTTTCTTTTAACTCCAGAAAAGAAGTTAACCTACCCAACCTTGCTAGTTACTGTACGTAAAACACGATTTAATTCGAACGAATAAAAATATATTTGTTTAAAACTGAAACATACTACGGCAGCTGTATCTCAGAAAAACCAAGCGTTTGAGGACATATATTTGCTAATATCTTTTATACTTCTTTTTTTTTATGTAGAATCGATCCTGCGAGTGCTTGTCGGTGGAGTTCAGATACACTCTGTACATAAACAAAGCGCATGATCAGGATGATTTTCAGACTAACTGACTCACGTCCGGGTTACACGCGGTCTCTCCTATACTTTTAGAATAAAACACACATGTGGCTTAATACGTGAAACTACTCGCGATTTCCGAAATACTCGTGATTTCCGAAATACGCGATTAACTTTAACTTACGGTGTACAGCATTAGAACATACATAATTATATATATAAATTATATATATATACATAATTATATATAATTATACGTAAGTTATATAAATTATATATACATATAATTATATATATATAATTATATTTAATATAATGATCCTTTCAGAGGGCTTGTTCAAATAGATATGCTAGAACAATGTTGAAAAGCCTACGACTCGGCCCCATCGTGGTTTCTGAACAAACGCACGAACTGAAGTATAATTATTATTTTTCTTCTTTTTCTTTCCACTATTTTCGAAACGTTCGCACTCTCCCTGGTGAAATAGAGAAACGTCGTGCACACTTGGAAAGCTCCGTGCCGTCTTTTTCTCGCTATTTTGTATCGCTGTTCCTCTCCTTCTCAGTAAAAGTCATGTCAACCAAGACTCAACGAGGGAGATCAAGTCGATGAAAAAGAAAAGAATAAAACATAAAACATTGTTCTTTTTCGATCGAACTCGTCACGGATAGAGTCGTTTCTGGCCATGTGCCCTAACAATCGGAAGCGTGTGACGTCGAACTGCAAAGCGTTGAACGTGGGAAAGAACAATTCAAAGATTTTTTGCTTAGTAAGAAACTTAATAATAATCATACGCGCAGCGATCACCGGAATCGATCGTATCTAGCAATATAGTTCTACAAAATACAAAAAAAATTGTTGTTCATTCTTTTCACCCGTTTGTTTTCTTTCCCCCGAGAAAAAGTGATTATATATCAATGAAATAAAATTTAGTGAATACCACTAACATAAAATTTTATACATGATATAATTTTATACGTATAACATAAGTTTATATATATATATATATATATGTATATATGTGTATATATATATATATATATATATATATATATATATATAATTATTTTTTCTCGGGATTTTTTGCGAAATACATGCTAATACATGCTAAAATGCATACAATACATGCTAAAACAACGTTCAAAAACCTACGAGCCTCTTCGTGGTTCTTGAACACGAGCTATATTTATAAAATGGCTTTTCACAGTGTTTCTAACGAATTAACGTCACGCCTCCGCCGATTATAAATAATCAGAAGCAAAATTTAACTGCTTTATACTATTATCCATACCGTTACTTTTACTCCTACTATGTGGGCCGAAAAAGCTAATATCGACATTTAACGGCAGAAGATGGTGAGGAAGATTAGATTTATTAGAGGGAGACAGAGAGGGGAAGGGAGGAGCGCAAGTTAGTTACAACGTAAACGCGAAGAATCAAAAGTCGTCGAGCATCTCTCCGGCAAGGTTCTCCTTACCTTCTCGTGATCATTCAAAAAAATATTCCGGGCTCTCTGAAACGTTCGTTAACTATCGCGCCCCTCTGCCGATCATAAATAATCATCATCAACATTTCGAACGTTGTTACTTCCCTTCCGACTTCACCCGATACCTAAATCGGGCGAGCTAATACCGGCTTCGAAAGGGGAGCACGCTGGAGGAAGATTGGATTTATCAGAGGGAGACAGGGAGGAGCGGGAAAGATTACAAGTTAGAGACTGAGACGAGAGAGAGAAAGAAGCGTCAAGGAACTCCTTAGGAACTCTCTTCTCTTCTCGCGACCCTTTGGGAAATATTCGGAGATATTTGCGGCGCGTAGAGAAAGAGAGAGAGAGAGAGAGAGAGAGAGATAAACATGAAATTCACAGTGCATATTCGACGAGGAAGCTGCCGGGGCCAATCCCCGATCACTCTCGAGGATCGATTGTCACGTGCCGCCTCCTTACTGTATGCTCCACGGCGAGAATAACTCCGATCGAACGGCTTCTCGGCTTCTCCCGTAGTCCTATTGTAATCGGGCTTCCTGAGGTGTCGTCTGATACGGCAGGCCCGGGAAAGCCGCGCCAGCTGCTGTTGCCGCCGCCGCCGCCGCCGCCGGCAGGCCCGCAGCACCTGGCAGTGTCGCGTAGGTGTAGGGCGCTACGTAGCTCGCCGCCGCCGCGTTAGCTGGAAAGAGAAGAGGGGAGAGATTTTTTCTCACAAAGCGGAAGCGCCCGGTGGGTTGGCCGAGCCGAGACCTCCCTTCACGCACTCTTACTCCTCTCGCAAACATCGGCACTCGACTCGACTAAGGGGGGGGGGGAAGATATTATTTATGCACAGACTATTTATACTCCCTCTATGAACTTTCCGCATACACACGGGGAAAACGAATCTCGGTGGAACGGCGAATGTTCGCCGATACCGGCGAAACGGAATTTGTTTAGGCGGCGAAAAAAATGTCATTACGCCGGCTAAATTCGGTCGCCGTAGCAACGACGTTTTTCGTTTACCGCAGCAAAGCGATTCTTCCCGTGTGACCGATTTCTCCGCTGTCGCTGTGTTAACAAGCGATTCGCTGTTCCAGCAGGACTCGTTTTCTCACTCGTCATAGCAGCGCAACAGCACCAACCGTCCGATACCAGCAGAGTGAAAAATAGGACATCAACCTCGAGAAACGCCGATCTCTTCGATTGCGAGTATCTCAGCTTCCGAATGGTCGGTCGTTTTTTCTAACTTTACGGACGTGTAGGTGGAATCGATGTGCGGGTAAAATGTCGGAAAGGGTTCCCGAGAAAACGGTTTTTTGCGGACCGACTACCTCAACAGCGTAAAGTATGTTCAGTGATAAATGACGAATCGCAGGAGCGTGAAAGCATATTCAAGCGGCAGATACGCGCGCGACAGCTATCGCTCTACGGTGTGCCCCTTCGAGTTTTGCGATACGACAAAGCGCACGATGGTGCACACCGAACCCACCATCACCCTTCTCGAGAGCACCGCCACCATCACCAGAGAGAACGCACATCAAACTGGCCGCATATTGCGCGGTCAATCGTATAGTTGCACAAAGCACGTGTAAACATGCAAGACTTTTCTCTCTCTCTCTCTCTCTCTCGATAGCTTGCTTACCATCAATTACTACGCAGCGAGCACTGAGGATTTTGCGAACGAATGATAATCGTGTTACATGTAAGCGGGTACGGAAGAAAAGAAAAGAGAAGAAAGATACGCAAAGTTACGGAAAGTAGCGCGAAGTTACGTAGCAGCGAATCGAAGGAAGGAGGAGATTGCTTCTCTCACAACGCTCGGGGAGCTGGGCGCGAAGGCCGTCTCCACCCGGACAAGCGTTACCAGTGCGACACGATCGCAAGATGCTCAATGATCCAAGTTGGAAAGAAGCAATGTATGCGTATACCATCGTGTAGAAATCTGCGGCGGAGTTCCCACGTGAGATCCGGCAGGAAGCGCGACCGAGGCTCTCTCAAGGCGCAAGATAGGCGGACAGGACATGTGCGGAATAAGTGACACCTCATTGCGTCCACCCGGTGCCGGAGATCCGACACATCCGACACGTCGAAATTATCATTCCCCTAACCGGGTAGAACCCGGTATAACCCGATAGTTGCACATCGGGTTATACGCGCTTTCCTTCATCTTCTCCGCCTTATATTAGATCCTGTCCATATTATCGGATGCGTCTGAATTTTTTACAATTCACTGACTTCCGAGGACCAGCTTAAGCATTGTTGATAACAACGAGAGAACAGACGTGAGTTTTGAGTGTGTGTGTGTGTGTGTGTGTGTGTGTGCGTGTGTCAGGTGAAATTTTGTTTTATATATTTTCGTTTACTTGTGACTTGAAACTTCAAACTTCCTCGCTCACCAGCGAAATAAATATTTTTATGAACAATATTAATATCGTTTACAAAAATGCCAGGCAGAACAAGTGATTTCACATCTCGGAAGATTGCAGAGGTGAAAGCGCTGATTGACACCGCGATTTATTCTTATCGAGTCAACATAAGATCGGCAGCTTTTCTTCTCCTCCTAACTTGTATTCTATTAAAATATCAAAGTGTGCTAATAATATAGCCAAGGATTATATATGTGTGTGCGTGTGTGTGTCGCACGACATCGGTGCAGAGAAACAAAGAGAGAGAGAGAGAGAGAGAGAGAGAGAAAGAAAGCGCTTACGAACGAGAGAGAAAGCGAAAGAGAGAGAGAGAGAGAGAGAGAGAGAACCGGATCCTGTGAGAACTCCGCCGGGCGCGCGGGTCTTGCGAAGCGCCACGAAATCAATCCCGAAGAGAGGGTGCAATCCTCCCCGGCTCGTGTCTCTCCTCTCCTCCCGTGAGATCACTGAGAGAGTTTCTACCGTAGCCACGCAGCACGGACGGCAGAAATTGCGGCAGAAGACCGACTTTCTCCAGCTGTTGCTGTGCCAGCGCCGCGGGAGCGTTTTGCTGCTGCTGCTGTTGCTGCTGCTGCTGGTGTTGGTGGTGGTGCATCGAGCTGTTGCCACTACCCTTGCCCGGGACACTATTCAAACACGTACCAGCGGCGGCCGCGCTGGTGTAGGGGTACGCCTCGGCGAAGTTGTACGAGGTGCCGGGGTAGCTGGCGGCCGCTGCTGCCGCGTTCTGGTACTCGTAGAATTGCGACGCCGCGGCTACGGCGGCTGCATGGCTCAATTGCGTCGCCGGAAGCGGCACCAGGCCACCTGGCGCCGCGGCCGCCAGGTAGGGCGACTGGTACACGTAGCCCGGTGGTACTCTGCAAAACGAGAAGACGCGTCAGTACACGCGGATGTCGGCGGGGGGGACGCGGCGACACTCGGAGGCCCGTGTGTTTGTGAATTCACTGCGACGCGGACCGACGGCGCTACCCCGGCGCTGCCCTCCGCGAGGGAGATCGCGAAAACTCGCCGAAGCGGAGGGAAAAGTGAGGATCCGATGAAAATAGTTGGTCCGTCGGACGCCGGATTTTCACCGGCGTCTGTTGGAATTTCTTATTTACCGGACAAAACGCTTCTCTATTACTTTGTTTAACCGTCTGGGTAAAATAATTTTCGGCGCGAAATCATCGGAATTCACGGAGGCAAATATATGTGCGATACTACAAGCACGGAGATGATTTGTTTATACAATATCGATTGAGGTAATAAAGGTACATGTTGGAAAGGTGTATAAATATTTCAACGTGCGCGCGTATAACGCGAGTAATATTACAAATTGTAAATTTCCCATGGTTACGTTTTCAGAATAAAATGGTCGGTAATTCTGACATTTTTGTATAACTTCTTTATATAGTCTTCAATATCATAGTAGTTTTTCATGAAAATTCTGAATGTGGTTTAGAAATGATTGAAAATAAAAAAGTTAAGAATAGGATATGAATCTCAAGGGGCACGTATAAAAAGTAAATGTGTCTTAGAAGAAATTCAAAGTGGAAGGTTAGAAATAGCAACCTCGAGGAATACGTATAAAAACTTTCCGAATGGTCAATCGTCTTCTAACTTTACGCAGACGTACAGATGGTATTTCTGTCGATACGCAGCTGGAATTTCAAAGGATCCCCAGGAGAATGACTTGACGGACCAACTACCTCAACGATCAACCGGCCTGATCTTTTGGTCGACGTTACTTTCACGAATCAGACCAAAGACGCAAATCGATTGATAAACGTAACACAAACGAATCGTGCGCCGTCTAGTCCGCGAGGCAATAACTTACAAACAAGTCCACCTACTTCAGAGCGAGCGAGAGCTCTCGGACGATGTTCGATGCACCTGTTTCGGCCGAGGGAGGCGCGACAAACAAACCCGATAGGTCTCCTCCGCTCCGATCGTATACTTCTCCTTTTTCTGTTTCTTTTGGTGGAGTTCGATGGAATCAGGAAGGGACAATGGTGACGCAGCGAGTGTGTCGCGACTGTTGTATGTGTTGTATGTATGCGAAAGTTCTCCTCGTGTAACGTGTTACAATGAACGGCTCGCGATGTCGATTACAGATCGTCAATTGAATGAAATATTAGGGGTGCCTATAAGTGACGTCGCTTTTTGATACGCGAGATTCGATTTTATTTAACATTTCGTTCTCGCAAAATTTCGCAATAAGCACACCGAACCGCCGATAAATTTAATTAATCCAGAAGTTGCGTATAATAATAAATCACGTCCATACGAACCAAAGTGGCGACGTTTACTCAATCTGAAGAAAAACGACATCGCTTATGGGTGCCCGTAATATTTGAAGGCTCGTCCACTCCGTCTCTTCATCTCGATCGTCCCGTGAACGAGAACAAGACGATCGTTATTAATGCATCCCGGGAATCGACATGGCGGAGGCAAATTCGTGTTCGCATGTATACGTAAGTTTCTACACCGCCGATTCCTTCCCCGGCACGCGGTGTGTGTGTGTGTGTGTGTGCCGGTCTCGGAAGCCAGCGGCGAAAAACCAAGTGTCTTTACTGCGTTCCGCGCAATAGAAGAAAATTCCCGGCTCGACGGTCATTCGCTCTCGAGCAGCTCTCTACCAACACCAAAAGCACGCAACACGGCAAACGGCAGAGTGAGCGAGGGACCGAGTTTTCTCTCTCCGATCGATCTTCGCGCATCTTCGAGCGATCGAGATAAGGTGCGCTTCCGCGATATATCGATATATCGGCCGGTGCGTGAGCGAGAGAGTGAGTGGGTGTATCTTGAGCGGGGTCTACAATGAGAATTTAAGGCGTAAGACTGAAAAAATCGAGCAATCCTAATCGACTCTTCTTCTATCATTCGACCGTGATTGGTCAATTTCTTAAGTCTCACGTCTTCGATTCTCGTTGCAGGCTTCCCCGCTCTACAAGTCTCGAGTTCCGAAGTCGCATGTCTCCGAAGGCGGGGAAAGCTTTGAAAAAGATTCGACCCGGCGAGATGAAAACTCTTCTCGCTGTGTGACGTTCTTTTTTCTTTCTCCTCGTTATGCGTTATCCACACTTCGAGGCGATATGCAAGCTCGGAACTTGTGTGTGGTGGAAACGAACCGAGGTGTATCGGAAATCGCGCGAACTTTCTCCCAGCTCACGGATTCCCCGGCGAACCTGGCAATTTCTAATTGCCAAGATTACGAGCAATATCTTGATAATCACGCCGGGAATTAAAATTCCTCCGTGGAGGAAGAACTCTTCGTTCTTCACGGTGGTGCGGGCGAGAAATCAAATTTTGCGACTTTCGCGGCGGAGGTCCGCGAAATTCCATCGACCTCCGATAATAAATCACTCGGTAATTGGGGATATTCCATTAAATTTTCACCGAGATAAGATCAACCCCCACGTTCAATGGCGAGGAGTTCATCCACTGAGAGAAACCTCCGCGTCTTCCAATATACTGTGTATGTGTGTACGCGAGTATGCGTGTCGAGTGCGCTCTGATTATATGCCAGTTGCGACGCTCGTATCGAGATGCATGATCTAGTTAAAAACATTAACAAGAAAGATGTTATCCTTTCTCTTTATCTCCTTTCCCTTTATCATCAGAATGTAAATTGGGCAAAATTTAAAATACACTGTGTATATTGCAATTTAATGTGATCTAAAAATTCATATAATTTAACGTAAGTAGCGTAAAATGTAATGTAAAATATAATGTAAAGTTTAATGTAATTAAAACATTTTTAATGTCCAATATTTCGAGATACCGGACATCGAAGTATTATATCGAGCATTTCAAGATACTGAATACATGAAAACTAAGTATTAATTCTATATCTTTACTATAAAAAGAGAAATATATTTTTTTTTTTCTTTATCATCAACTGGTATCAGAATGCACGAATGATGATACGGTGTGTGAGTATGCATATGTATGAAGATGTGCGTGCGTGCGTATGTTACGCCGGAGATATTTCGTCGGACAGGACCATCGAAGATGGAAAGGCGGAAGGAAGCAAAATTGAGGAAGTGTGAGACGGTAACGTTGCTCTCATTGGTGGTATCAATAATAAAGGCGGAAAACGTACGCAACAATCCAAGAAAAAAATCTTTCACGTGTTGGCAAAACAACAGCAAACCAACGACAAACGTGTATGTAGGTGACTGCACGAAATATAAATACTTCTCGGCACACGGCACACGATTATCTAACACCAACGTTAGTACCTAAATTCACAGATCTAAGGAAACGTCTCGAGTTCGCTCTCTCTCCGATTTCTGCGACCTTTGGATACGTCTCGTAAAATAGCTCGAAACAAAGAACCGGGATATCCTCTCTTTCTCTCTCTCTCTCTCTCTCTCTCTCTCTCTCTCTCTTTCTCTACAAATACTCCACCGCAGTTTAGGGGGGCGAACTCGACGTTCGGGAAGCGGGCATTCGACATTTTCGTCGAATAAGCGCTTCGAAACGGTAAAACGCGTCGAAAGGTGATAAAAAAAGGATAAACGCTCCACTGCACTTAGAAAATATTTTATTCAAGAAAAAAAAAAATAGCAGAAACCGTTCTCCGCTATCGTCAAGTATCGACACATACCGAGAGCGGTACAAAGCTTCTTTCAGAATTTCTTTTAAAGGAAATGAGAAAAAGAATAATCGATATTATCATTGTGTGCACATTCGCTCACGATAATAAATACAAGTGTGTGCGCCGTACTATTCGATAAAACTTGCTCGTTTCGCGCGTCATTCCAACGACGAGGACAGGCATTGTTGACTGCATGCATTCATGCATGTGTGCATCATTCGTTACGCATTATGTAATATCGTTGCTTTAATCAATTACACCCGATATCTTGGTCGCGAAATTGTCACCGAGTTACACCGAGAGAGAGTATAACCTTAGTCGCATCCCCTAATTCTGCGATGAAGTGGAAAGTATGTACACTTGTTTCAGGCTATATCGTAGAAGACGTCCAAGTCCCCGGGAAGATATCGATGCGAGATGTCTCGAAACGCATCCTCGTGTAAGAAAGGAAAAGAAAAAAAAAAGTATGATAGTATCATCTCACGGCAGTGCCTCTGTCTCCCTTACACTTTCTCTTTCACTCTCTTTGCTTTTCTCTTAACTCTCCTCGTTCGAGGCAACAACGCGCGGTAGATCCGGCCGACTGCCGTGCGTTTCTTCGATCACCCGCGAAATTTCATCCCGATTTGCAATTCGTGTTTCTTATCGATCGACGCGCACTCTGCGAATACACAAAAATACAATGACAGATCAGTGCGTTGCTGGTCGGACGTGCGCGGGCTTCACGTGATTCCGAAAATGCAACACGAACATATGCAGGCAGATTTTCACCGAAATAACGATGAAGTAATAATGATTCAGCGAAATGTAATAAGAGAATAATGATTTCCAAAAATATTGAAAAATGGCCTGATCCTGCTTTGGAATAATACTTGTCGGTGTAATTGAATTCCAAAAGCACGATTATGTTAAGGTGATGTCATTTCACGGTTAAACCGGTGTCATTAGATAAGCCTTAATTTCGACGGCCGAGCCTTCTCGATAAGCAGATTATTAAAACCTGGATCGCTCCGAGAGCGATTGAACGACGAAGAACAACGATTCCGAAACATTTCGAGAGAGAGAGAGAGAGAGAGAGAGACGCCGAAAGAGCCTGGCCTCTTTCCCGGAGACAGCCCTGAACTTTTTAGCGGATCGATAATAGCCGGTGTCCAGTCTGCGAAGGAAATCAATATGTCGTCCTGCGGCTCCGAACGACAGCTCCTCCGCCACGTCGTTGGATTGGTGCCCCCGGTGACCATTATCACACAATCGCAAACAATCGAGAGCGCGCTT